TTAAGATTTTGAGGAATTTCATAATATTTTCCATAAGGGTTACACCATTTTACAATCCACCCACAATGCACAAGGATTCCAATTTTTCCATAAATTTATCCATACCTGTTATCTTGCTTATTTCTTATAGTCACTAATAAGTATAAGATGATAGCTCATTGTGATTTTGATCCCATTTCCCTGATTAGTGATGTTGAACATTTTTTGATACACTTGTGTATCTTCTATGAAGACAAGTCATTTAGGTCCTTTGACCATTTTTTAATCAGGTCATTTTTTAAAATTTTTGTAAGACTCCTTTATATATTTTAAATATTAACTCATCAGATATATGGTTTGCAAATATTTTCTTCCATTGCACAGGTTGCCTCTTCACTCTGTTGCTTGCTTCCTGTGCTGTCCAAAAGTTTTTGATGTAGTTCTGTCTATTTTTGCTTCTGATACCTATTGTTTTGGTATGATAGAAATGCTAAATCTAATATTATGAATATTTCCCCATTTTCTTCTACAAGTTTGGTGGCTCCAGGTCTTATTTTAAGGTCTTTAATCCATTTTTAGCTAAATTTTCTACATGTTTTGTAAGGATTCAACTTCATTCTTTCGTATATGGATATCCAGCTTTCCCATTACCATTTATGGACGGGAAACTATGCTTTTCCCATGCGTATGTAACCTTGGCATCCTTGTTGAAGGTTTAGCATTTATGTTGAGGGCTTATCTCTGTGATCACTACTCCATTCCATTGGTCTAGATCCCTGTTTTTATGAGTACCATATTAAAATATACCTTGGTATGTTTTGAAATCAGGAAGAGCGGGGCTCCTTTTATTTTTCTTTCTCAAGTTTATTTTGGCTCTACTGGGTCCTTTGACATTCTATATGAATTTTAGGATTTTTGTTTTGTTTTGTTTTGTTTTATTTGTTTAGTCTATTTCTACAAAAATGCCTTTGGGATCTTGATAGGGATTGTACTGAATCTGTAGTATTGCTTTGGGTAGTGTGAACATTTTACCAAAATTAAGTCTTCTAATCCATAAACACAGAATGTCTATTTAATTTGTCTTCTTTAATTTCTTTTATCGATAGTGTATAGTTTTCAGTGTACAAGGCTTTTGCCTATGTGGTTAAGTTTACTCCTAAATGATTTATTCTTTTTGAAGTTTTTGGACTTCATAAATAAATAGGACTGTTTTCTTAATTTTTTAAAACTTTTCATTGTTAGTATATAATGCAACTGTTTTGTTAATTTTTGTATCCTGAAACGATGCTGAATTCATTTATTTCTAACAGGTGTATGTATCTGTGTGTGCAATCTTTAGGTTTTTCTACATATAAAGTCATGTTATCTGTGAATAAAAATAATTTTATTTTCTTTACAACATGGATGCATTCTGTTTCTTTTTCTTGCCTACTTGCTCTGACTACAATGTCCAGCACTATGTTGAATAGAAATGGAGAGAGTGGACATCCTTCCCTTGATCCTAATCTTACAAGGAAAGCTTTTAGTTTTTCACCACTGAATATGATGTTAGATGTTGGCTTTTCATATACAGGATTTATTTGATTAAGGTAACTTCCTTCTATTACTAGCTTGTTGAGGGTTTTGTTTGTTTGTTTTTGGGGGTTTTTTTTTCACGAAAGGGAATTAAGTTTTGCTAAGTGCTTCATTCTGGTACCAGGGATCGAACTTGGGACCTTGCACTTGGGAGGCAGGTGGTGGAATCACTGAACTAAATCCCCAGTCCTAAGTGCTTCATTCTGCATCAGTTGAGATGATCATGTGGTTTTTTTCTTATTCTATTAATCTAGTATATTACATTTGTTGATTTGTGTATGTTGAACCATTCTTGCATCCAAGAGATACATTCTAGTTGGTCATGATGTATAATCTTTTTAATGTACTTTTGAATTTAGTTTGTTAACATTTTGTTAGGAATTTTTGCATCACTAATCATTAGGTATTAGTCTATAGTTTCTTTTCTTGTATCTTCCTCCAATGTTGGTGTCAGGGTAATGCTGGCCTCATAAAATTAGTTTGGCAGAGATCCTTACTCTTCAATCTATTGGAACAGTTTGAGAAGCACTGGTATTCATTCTTTGTGTTTGACAGAATTCTTTAGTGAAGTCATTTGGCCCTGAGCTTTCTTTCTTAAGACTCTTTTAGATTGCTGATATAATTTCCTTACTAGTTATTACCCCGTTTACATATTTAATTTCTTTGTGATTTAGTCTTGCTGGGTTCTATTTTCTAGATATCTTCCAGGTTATCCAATGTGTGTGTTTGTTTTTGTTTTGTTTTTCACAGCACTGGGAATTGAACCCAGGACCTTTGAACTAAACACATCCTCAGTCTTTTTCTTTTTCTGAGACAAGTTTTTGCTAAGTTGCTATGCTGCTTAGGCTGAGCTCAAATTTGTGATCTTCCTGCCTCAGTCCCCAAGAGTGCTAGGATTACAGGCATGTGCCACCACACTCAGAGTTTATAATCTATCATAGCAGTCTTACATTTTATATCTGTGACATCAATTGCAAGGTCTGTTCTTTCATTTCTGATTTTAATTATTTGAATCTTTTCTCCTAGTTCAGCTAAAAGTTTCTGAATTTTGATCTTTAAAATAAGTCAGTTTTGTTGATCTTTTCCTATTGCTCAACTATTCTCAATTTATTTCTGTGCTAATCTTTATTTTCTTCCTTTTGCTAACTTTTTAGTTTAGTATATTCTTCTTTTTCTAGTTCCTTGAGGTGTAAAGTTAGGCTGTTGATTTGAGGTTTGTTGTTTGTTTTTTTTTGGTACCGGGGATTGAACTCAGGACCTTGTGCTTGCCAGCCAGGCGCTGGAACCACTGAGCTAAATCCCTGGCTTGAGATTTATTTTTAATAGGTGCTTCCTGCCATAATCTTCCTTAGAATTGCTTTTGGTGCATAATTTTTTATATATTATAATTCATTTTAAGTTGTCAAAAGATAGTTTCTAATTTCCCTTATGATTTTTTCTTTGGTCCACTGTTGTGCAAGAACATATTAATTTTCACATTTGAGAATTTTCCAGTTTTCCTTTTACTATTAGAAAAGAGACTTGATATGATTTAAATCTTCTCAAATTTGTTAGATTTGTTTTGTGACCTAACATATTATCTATCCTAGAGAATGGTCCATTGCACTTCAGAACAATGTATACTGTGATGCTGTTGGGTGAGTGCTCTGTGTGTATCTATTAGGTCAGTGAGTCTATAGTGTTGCTCCAATTCCCTGTTTTCTTAGTGACTTTCTGACTGGTTGTTCTGTTATTGAAGATGGGGTACTGAAACCTTCTGCTATTATTGTGCTACTTTCTCTCTATATATATTCTTGGTGCTGAATTGGCCTTTTTATCATCATCTAATGTCTTTTTTATCTAAAAGTTTTTGTCAAGAACAAGACATGAATATCCACTCTTACTCCTCTTTTTCAATATAGTACATAATTGGAAAAAGAAAAATAATAAAAGGGATATAATTATGAAAGAAAAAAGTTAAATTACCCTTGTTTGCAGATGATATGATCCTATACTTAGAAGACCCTGAAGACTCTACCAAAAGACTTTAAGAGCTGATAAATGAGTTCAACAATGTAACAGAATATAAAATTAACATTTAAAAAATTATTAGCTTTACTATACATGAATAATAGATTAGCTGAGAAATAAATTGGGAAAAGAAGTCCATTTGGAATAGCTTCAATAAAGTAAACTACCTAGGGATCACTATTTTATTTATTTTTGGTACCGAGAATCAAACTCAGGGCCTCACGTTTGCCAGGCAGGTGCTGTTCCGCTGAGCTACAACCCCAGCCCAGCTAGGGATCTAATCAAGCAGATGAAAGGTTTCTACAATGAAAATTTAAAAACACTGAAGAAATTGAAGAAGACACTAGAAGATGGAAAGATCTCCCATGTTCATGGATTGGCAGAATTAATATTGTCAAATTGACCATATTACCAAAAGCGATCTACAGATTCAATGAATCCCCATGAAAATGACAATGACATTCTTCATAGAACTAGAAAAAGCAATCCTAAAATTCATATGAAAACAGAAAAAGTCCAGAATAGCCAAAGCAATCCTAAGTATAAAGAACACGGCAGAAATCATTGCACTACTTAATTTAAAATTGTACTACAAAGCCATAGTAACAAAAACAGCATGATACCGGCACAAAAACAGATGTATAGATAAAAGGAAAAGAATAAAGGAAACAGGGCTGGGGATTTAGCTCAGTGGTTCTGGCACCTGCCTCACAAGCTCAAGGTCCCAAGTTCGATCCCCGGTACAAAAAAAAAAAAAAGAATAAAGGAAACAGAAACAAACCTTTACAATAACAGCCATCTAATTATAGACAAAGGAGCCAAAAATATAGTTTGGCAAAAAGAATGTCTTTTTAACATATGATGCCAGGAAAGCTGGATATTCACTTGCAGAAGATTGAAGCTAAATCTCTATCTCTTACTCTGTACAAAAATCAATTCAAAATCTGCTAGAAGAAAACATAGGGGAAACCCTTGAAGCCATAGGTGTAGGCAAAGACTTCCTGAATAAGACTCCAAAAGCATAGGAAATAATAGCAAGAATCGACAAATGGAACTATAGCAAGGGAAATAAAATTATCTTAGCTGGGGAAGTAGTTCAGTGGTAGTCTACCACTGAGCTACTATTTATCTAGAATGCTTGAGGACCTTTGTTCAATCCCCAGTATCAATAAACACACAAACAAACAAACAAACTTGTTCCATTGTGTAGCCTTTCCTCTTTTGTCAAAAACTAATTGACTATATTTAGAGTATTTTGGGGCACTCTATTCTGTTTCACTGAACTATTTATATATTCTTTCACCAGACACACTGTCTTGATTATAGCAGTATAGTGAGTCTTGAATTCAAGGAATATTAGGGGTTTTTTCAATATTGTGTTGATTATTTATTAGTCAGTCTCCCATTGATAGAACAAAATACACAACACCCACAACTTAATGGAGAAGAGGTTCATTTTGGATCACAGTTTGAGAGGGTTTAGTCCATAGATGGCTGCTTCCAAGGCAGAAACAGCATGGTTGAAGGGCATGGCAGAGAAAGCTACTCACCCCATGACAGACAGGAAGGAGTGACGGGAGGGGAGAGGTGGGGAGGACAAGAAAGGAGAGGCAAGCCCAGGTGAAGTGAAGCCAGTGACAAAATTACACCAGGGACAAAAAGACATAACAGTTATGATGAGTCTCTCACCTTTCCTTATAAACTTTAAAATTAGTCTGTCGGTATCTATAAAATACTAATTGCTTCTTGGCCTCCTGGCTAAGATCAAGTGTAGTATCTATAAAATACTTTTTTCTGGGATTGGATTGGGATTTCATTCAAAGTAGTATAGAACTACCTTTGACTGTATTGAGCCTTCCTATCCACAAACATGGAATAGCTTTCCATTTGTTTAGTTTGTCTTTGATTTCTTTCAACAGAACTTTGTAGCTTTCCTCATATAGATCCTGTACATATTTTATTAGCTTAATAATTAAGTATTTCCACTATGGGAGTACTAATGTAAAAAGTTCTGTGCTTTTCATTTCAAATTCCACTCACTGGTGGTACAGTGGTACCTCGGTTCACAAATGCTTTTGTTTGCGAACAAACAGAATTGTTTGGCAAATTTTTTGTTTGCAAACTCTGTATCAGGTGATAAACACAACTGTGACCATTTTTCCTGCACAAACGTGAACATAGGCATCTTTTCCAGAATCATGGAATGAATTAAGTTCATGAACCAAGGAACCACTGTATCTAGAAAAGTATTTGACTTTTGTGTATTAGCCTTATATCCTGCAATCTTACTATAATTGCTTATTAGATTCTGAGGGGTTTTCACTTCTTCCAGGTTTTGTATGAAGATAATCATGTCATCTTCAGTTAAAGACAGTTTCATTTCTTCCTTCCTAGTAAGTAAACTTTTTATTTCACTTTTTCTTACTAAATTAGGTAGGACTTTCAGTATACTTTTGAAAAACCATGGTAAGAGGAAATCCTTACATAGTTCCTGATCTCAGTAGGAAAACTTCTTGTTTCTTACAATTGAGTGTTGAGTAACTGGATTGGATATTTCCTTTCTCTTAATATCAATTAGGCTCTGATAGAACCCCAACAAGTAAGGCTCTGGATAACTAGGTTTTTTTCCCCTCCCCTTGATAGAAATGTAAGGAGATTTTCCCCAGTATTTACTGTGAGAACCTGGTCAGGCTTCTGGAGGTTAAACTCACAAATGTGTGGGAGTCTTCCATATGACAAGGATTTCCTGGAGTTTTTAACTGTCAGAGTTTCCCACATCTACTTTCCAAAACTTAATCAATTATAGTTTGGGTTTTGCTATCCTAGCACTGGTTCCCACAGAAGTTTCTGTTCCAATATGCTGTGATTTTCTGTATCTGACTGTTTCTTTAATAATTTACCCTACTTTTCTAATGGATTTAAGAAAAGATGTTGAGTTCTTTCATTTGTTCAGCTTTTATTTGTTGTTAGGACAGAGGTGACTTCCAAGCTCTTTACACGTAGAACCAGTAATCAGAACTCTTGATTTTTTTACCCAGTTGGCCACACTGAATGCAGAATGATTGCAGAAATTAATTTTAATTTATACTTACAATAATTTTTGATAAAGACATATCATTGCCATTTTATTAATTTTTTCAGTCTTACAGTAATTTTTTTCATTTTTCTTCTCTTACTGCTTTTGTGTCTCATTGATTTTGTGTGCTGACATGTTTAGATTGTTTTTCTCATTTTCTCCTGTCCATCTGCTATTGGTAGTTTCCTTATGGTTACCATGAGGCTTACATAAAACATCTTACAGTTATAATATGTCTTAAGCTGATAACTACTTCAATCACGTACAAAAACTGTGATACCTACCAGTTCCCTTCATGTCATCAATGTTTAAAATTGCATCTTTTTAATTTTGTATGCATTAACCTAGTTTTATACTTATAATTACTTCTAATGCTTTACTATTTTAAATTCTATACCAGATTTATACACCACCATTATAACATTACAGTATTCTTTGGCTATATATTTACCTTTGGTAGTGGGATATATAGTCTTGTATGCTTTTGTACTGCTGTCTTGCATCTTTCTGTTTCAACTTGAGTGGCCTGTTTCACCATCTCCTTTAGTATTTCTTGTAAGTCAACTCTAGTGGTGATTAATTCCCTCAGTTTTCTTTACTTTGGAAAGACTTTATTTCTCCTTCATTTTTTTTTTCCCCAGTACCAGGGATTGAACTCAGGACCTTGCGCTTTTGAGGCAGGTGCAGTGCCGCTGAGCTAAATCCCCAGCCCTTCTCCTTCATTGTTGAAGTCTTGCCAGGTATAGTATCTTTGTTTAGCAGAGTTTTTATTTTTTGTTTTGTTGGGGGTTTTTTCCCAGCATTTTGAATGTATCATCACACTCTCTTCTGGCTTATAAGGTTTCTGCTGAGAAATCCCTGATAAAATTATGGAAGCTCTCTTGTATGTGATGATCTGCTTTTCTCTTGCTACTTTCAAGATTTTCCCTTTTGCCTTTGTTAACATTTTGATTGTAATGTTTCTTAGTGTGGATCTCTTTTGTTCACCTAAGTTAGAGTTGTCTGAGCTTCTTTTATTAGGATGTTCATTTCCATCCTCAGATTTCGGAAGTATTGGACCATTCTTTCTTCAAATAAACTCTCTGCCCCTTTCCTCTTTCCTCATTATTAAATTCCCGTAATACATATGTTGATCCACTTGATGGTGTCCCATAAATCCCTTAGAATTTCTTCAGCGTTCTTTATTCTTTTTCTGCTTTTTGTGCCTCTGCCTCAATAATTTCAAATTACCTGACTTTGAGTTTACTGATTATTTTGCTTAATCAAGTCTGTTATTGAAACCATCTAGTGAATTTTTCAATTATTGCATTTTTCCATTTCAGAATGTTTGTTTTTTCCCCTTTTTTTTTTCTTTCAGAATCACACATATAAATTACAGACAGTGGTTAGCTTGGGAAGAAGGGAAAATGGAATGGAGATAGTCTATAAGGGATTTAGATTATATCTATAATGCTTAATTTATGTAAGCTAGGGATAGGAATAAGGCCTTTAGAATATAAGCCCCCAAGTTGTTTTTATATGGTTTATGTCTCTGTTGATATCCTCATTTTATTTATGCATCATTTTTCTGATTTTTAACATTTAGCTTTACACAGATCTTCAGTAATCAGCCCAGTAATCTAGCTGATTCAGGGGTGGAGTTTGGGAGTCTCTGAATCTTTCTGAGGGGAAGTGACTTTTCTAGGCTTTACGCTTTTAATTTCCCAAGGGTTTTCCAGCTTCTTTCTCAGGAGATCACAATTTCTTACTCCCTCTGGTGTCTGTCTGCAGTACTGTACTGCAGTTTCTCTGGTACTAAGCAGCAAGCCTCCATTTCCTGTGTTCAGTGGCCACTAGTCACTCAAATTATGCTGACTTCCCATCAGTATCCCTAATCAAACAAAACATATACCAGTCCCCTGGGAAACTCTCCAAAAATTAAAAAAGGTAGAATATTGGACATTTGCTCTGCTCTTCTCTGTCCCTCCCAAGTAAGCAGCTGCATTTGGGAGCTTTTCCCCAATCATGCTGACTGCGCTGGCTTGTCTACCATATTGCAGGCCCTCTTAATACAGCCAGTTGCCCCACACCCTGGCTCTCAGTGGCTCCCCACATACTCTATTATTCCATTTCCATAATCCTCCAAGTTAAGCAAGAGAGGAACCAGTTCTCTGAAGGGCAGTCCTCTGAAAAGCCGGAATACTGGATGTATAGTCTATTCTTTTTTTCCCTCAAGTGCACATCTATGACCCAAGTTGAGTTGTGCCAGCTTAGGGAAAGGGCAGTCTTGTGTAAAGTGACTCTTCCTACCCATCCTACCCTTTTCTTTCTTTTTTTTTTTTTTTTGGTACCGGGGATCGAACTCGGGCCCTTGCGCTTGCAAGGCAGGCGGAGGAACCACTGAGCTAAATCCCTGGCCCATCCTACCGATTTTAATGTGGTTCCTATTAGCTCTGTGTTTGCCTGAGATACTGAAACTCCTTAATTCTGGAAGAACTCTAGAGTTCTCATAAAGGTATTGGGGCTATACATTGGTTTTTTGTTTTTTTGGTACCGGGGATCGAACTCGGGTCCTTGCGCCTGTGCAGCAGGCAGCGGAAACCACTGAGCTAAATTCCCACCCCGGGGCTATATATTGTTGAAGTTGTCTCTGTTGAGGAATAGGGGCTGGGACTTCATATTCCATCTTGCTGACACCATCATCTCATATCTTTTTTTTAATTTATTTTTTACACATTTAAATAAATTTTATTTTATTCCATTTCCCCTCTCCCAACACCCTCCTCTCCCTATGTACAAAAGCTTTGTCTCCATTTTTTCCTTCTATTTTCACTTTTTTTTCTTGTCCCTTCCTTCCTTGCCTACGGCCATATCACCCTAAATGCGCCTGATGGCATCTGATCTCGGAAGCTAAGCAGGGTTGGGCCTGGTTAGTACTTGAATGGGAGACCTCATATCTTTCTTATACTGTGACATTTTATTTTATCTAAAACATTATCAATTGTAAAACACATCTCAACTTTGGAGATGATAAAATATGTAGGAAAAAATTTGTCTTTGATGATAGTAAGACACCATCTGTAGTAAAATGCACCAGTCTTGTTAGGGCAATCCAGGAGGGAGGGATAGGGCAGGAATGGGAGGAAGGAGAAGATGTGAACCCACCCTTCCCCGCCCCACAAAACTCCCAATCTCTAGAAAGGAGTCAAAACTTTAAAAATGCTTGGTTTGGGCTGGGGATTTGGCTCAGTGGTTTCACTGCCTGCTGTGCAAGCGGAAGGATCTGAGTTAGATTCCCCAGCACCAAAAAAAAAAAAAAAAAAAGAAAAAATCCTTAAAAATGCTTGGTTTGATGTAATTTCTAAAGTGCTGAGTTCTGTGACAGGGACAATGGAGACAAAACAGAAAAGGTTTGAATAGATCACAGGCACTTCAGGCAAGAAGAAACCATGCGATCATAAGTCTCAGAAATCTGCAGAAATTATACGGAGGGTTTGAATTTCTACCATATGGAAGGGACAAGACTCTGAGCATTGAGGACTCCCGTTGGCACCTGGTTTACACATACAGTATTGCCCAAATCATTTGACCCCCTTTAAGTTCATTCTTCACAGTAGACTGAGTGTTCTTCCTAAAAGGTGAATGGTATCCTGTCATTCCTCTACTTTACAATTTTATCATCCACAATCCAAATCTTATCGGGCATTCAACACCCTTTATGATCTGACCTATCTACCCTACCAGTCTCTTCTTCTTTTGACACAAGATATTCTAACTACATCAAACATTTCATTGTTCCCTAAAACACTAAGTCTTCCTTTCAATCTGAAAAAAGAACCTTCCACTTCTTTTTATCTAGTAAACACCTAATCATTCTTCAAGATCCCTTCAGAAGTGTGCCACGCCTACCTGTTTCCCCAGCACTTTGTTCAGGAAGTCTCTCTTCCTCTGATGTCTTTTCAAGGACTGTCTTATCCATTCCTGGCCCTCCTGACCAGTACAGGCCTGATTAAGCTCTCTCCTAGGTCCTACAGCACCCTGGGAACAACTGTAATGTCATCTATCACCACATTGTAACTTGTCATTTCAATGCACTAGAGAACACAGGGTCACACTGTCTTCACTGTCAATAAGAGAAAGGAGGGTGTGTTGAAAGAAGAGAAGAAAAAGGGGAAAGAAGGGCAAAAAAAGGACAGAGACTTAGAAGGAAGGAAAAGAAAACAAGGAATGGAGAAAATGAAGGAAGTTAACAAAAAAGGAAGTCAGAGAATGAATAAATGGACTAATCAGGACTTAAAAAAAAACTGTTGAACACAGAAACCCTAGCCTATAAGCTAAGTCTAAAAAGGGCACGTGAGACTGGCCAGGGATTCTTGTCCCATGATCAAAGCAAGTGAACATTCATTAGTCCTGGTCCTGACTGACAGCAGAAATTCCCTGAAACCCATAGCAGTTTTCCCTAAGGCTCCAAATCTGGAAGGATAATCATACAAAGCTCCCTGGACTGGGGTCCAGTAGACCTGGCTTGATAGTGGGTATAATGAAGAGCTTGGTCTTTCGATCAGACATTCTTATTTAAATCCCAGCTCCACCAGTAAGTCAGGTAATTTATCCTCACAGAATCTTATACTGAAAATGGGGTACTACTACTCAGAGAATAGTGTGGAGATCAGAGATAGTAGGTATGTAATACCTAGTACCAGGAGGCATTTGATACATGTGGTTTTTACTATTAAAATGTGTGTCACTTAACGTATCTCAGATTAGGTTACTATGTTTATTGCGTGGAGATTTTCAAGGAACAAGAAAATGTGTATAAAATAAAAGTGCTTTGTAAACTATAAAGTACCCTACAAATGTAAGAGAATCATTTGGGAAGGAGTCTTCTAGTTTAAAAAACAAAAAATCTTTGGGTAGAAGTAGGTTCAGTTCCAGGCCCTGCCATCTACTTGCTGTTTTCACGAGCAAGTCACTTTCTGTCAGCCTCTTTCCACATATGTCAAGTGCAGGTAATTCTTCTCAGGCAGTTGTCAAAATTCAATTCAATGTGAGTGAAAGCTCCTGGTACCTCCCTTCCTGAATGAGTGCCTGGATACTCATCTGATAGGTCAGGTTGCAGGTGTTATTAGTCCATATTCTGGGAATTGGCTACAAATGAAGAGGGCCCCATATTATGCAAGGCAAAACCCTAGACCAGTGGTGGCAAACCTACGGCATGCATGCCACAATGGGCTGTTTATCACTGAAAGCTCTAAAAGGTTCGCCATCACTGTCCTAGACTGAGAAAGGTAGGAAGGAATGTTTTGTATTTGTTAGAGGAAAGCTGGGTTAATGCTAAACTTCCATGTTTAAAAGAATTTTTTTTAATCTGCCATGTGAAGACTGGACAGGAAATGGCTCCACTGGGACAATCGCCCCAGCTCCCCAACTGTCTCAGTCTTAGGGACTGAATTATTGATTGCTACTAAAGGCAAACTCTCATTATGTTCCTGAGAGTTCTCTCATCCTATCCCTCACCCTCTAGTCCCTGCCACTGTCATTTTTCTTAGTCACAGAAAAAGTACTTAATAAAGTTGAAATGGTTCTCATGCTTGGTACTGAGTTCCCAGGGTGAACGTTCCAGGGCCATATCAAGAGGCCACACTGGCTCCCACCTCCAGGCCAGCCTCCTATGTGGCTCCTCTTTCAGAGGCCAACAAGGTGAATTCAGTGAAAAAAGCATCCACTGGAGGTCCAACTTTAAACTGCTCCACTACATGCCTGCTATATGACTTCATCTTTCCTCACATCTGTTTCCTCCTCTTACACCCTTGGGGATTGTTACAACAATAAGATGAAAAATGTAAATGTAACCAGTAGAATCATAACAGCATACAGTTAGATGCTCAATGGGTGTTAGTCCTTTCCTTTCCTCCTTTTCCTCAAAGGCCCCAGAAACTCAGCCAGCTTTCCTTTGCTTTTCAGAGCACCCAATCACCTAACTTTCTTGGAATTCATCTTCATTCTAGAATGGCTGCACTAGGACAATCTCCCCACCTCCCCACTTCCCCAAATAAGTACACAGGTTCTTTTCATTGAAGGGTTTTACTGCTGATCATTCTAGGGAAACAGATGCAGGCTTTGATGGGGACAACAGGTAAAAAACATGGGAGAACGTGAGGTCCCTGATCATGAATCCCTGAGGGCTTTCCTTTCATTCCTAAGGCAGGACCTCAAACCTCTTCTTAGACTAAGGAGGGCCCTCCCACTAGGAGGACCAGTCCTCTCAACCCAGACATCTAGAAGCACACTTGGGTTGGGGCACAGCAGGTGGGAACTACCAGGCCTGTGCAATGTGCCCTGAGCAGTCCATAGACTACATGGTAGCCCTTCAAACAGTGACACCGTCTTACAGGTTTTTCCCAAAGACCAGAGGACTGCAGCCTTAATGATAAGGACATGTTCTGAGCCTACCCTATTTCTCTGTCACTCACAAGGAGGTGAAGCTGAGATGGGGTCCTCTGACTTTCCAAGACAAGTAACTGCCTGGGAGATGGCAAGGATTTTTACTCCAAGTCCTTTCTGAGGACTTCCTGGAGATCCTGGTTTCAGAGACAATAGGAAACCGTTCTCTGAAGTGGGATGAAGGGCTTGACATCAAGGTGGCAGCAGCAGATACTAAAGATCTTCCTCCACTAGGGTGAATCTTTCACTCTCTGTCCCCCACTCTGTAAGTGGGGCTCCCCTTCAGCTGGACTCTTTCCCAGACTGCTCACCCATGTGTGTTTTCTGGTGGCGGATGAGATTGGAGCTTCGAGAAAAGTGTTTCCCACACAGAGTGCAACGGTAGGGCTTCTCCCCTCTGTGGGTCCTCTGGTGTGCCCCAAAGTTGGAGATATCGCTGAAGGTCCGCCCACACTCAGCACACTCGTAAGGCCTCTCACCTGTGTGGGTGCGGTGATGCACCCCAAAGCTGGAGCTGTTGCTGAAGCTCTTCCCGCACTCACAGCAGATGTAGGGTGCTGGCTCCAGGTGGGTCCGGTGATGCACAGCCAGTGTGGCACTCTGGCTGAAGCTCTTTCCACAGATGTCACAGCGGTACGGCCGCTTGCCCAGGTGATCTTGCTGGTGTGTGGTGAGGTCTGAGCGCCGCCGAAAGCTTTCCTGACACTTGGGACATTTGTAGTGCTTCTCTTCCAGGTGGATCCGCTCATGCCGGATGCGATTGGAGCTTCTTGAGAAGCTCTTGCCACATTCAGAACACTTGTAGGGCTTCTCGCCAGTGTGGATTCGCTGGTGTGTTCTCAGGTTGGAGGTATTGTGGAAGGTTTTGCCACACTGGGCACATATAAATGGCTTCTCATCTGCCTCAGGCTTTGGATGAGCAGTGGGGTCCCCTGGCCCTCCTGCTAGGGCAATGACTTTCTGCCATGGCTTTTTTGGACATGTTCCTTGTGGCCCCTTCAATGGGCTCTCCTGCCCATGCTCCTTTTCCCCAGGTGGGATCCGAGAACCCTCTGAGCCATCCACTCGCCAAGGTTTACCCCCTTCCCTCTCCTCAGGCAGGTGTGGTTCTTGACTCTGCTCCTTCTCACTGCCCATCTCTGAACCCTGAGAATGAACACAAATGTTCAACACCTTTATTCCTTGGGTCAGGCCAGACCACAGGAAATTTTTCATTCTGGTTGAAGGGACGTATACCTTCTCCCTTCTGGAATAACCTCAATTAACTACAATACTTGGACTAAAAGCCTCTAATTACTTTCCAGTGAAAAAATTTTCAGAGATATTTAAAGCCACACACCAGAGCAAAAAGACACAAGCCTTGTCCACCAATAAATGACATCTGCACTTTAAATGTCACTCATTTTAATACCATTAAACAATATCTGGATTATACGTTTTGTATACATAAAGGAGCTTTCATTTTGGGGTGAATTTGATTTTCCTACCTAAAACTAAAACTCCTTTTATATTTTATCTATTTTTTTAAAATCTTCCTTAAAACTATCTATTTACCTGTCTTCGAAATGAATATAACAGACTCTCACGCCTGAGGCTTTCCTAATTGTCGTTACAAGCCCCATCTCTGCATGCTATTCAGTGTTCTCCCACCTCACTCCTCTCCAGACCTCACCATAATTTAGCGATTGAAGGGTTACTGTCTGGACCTCCAAGACCTACTGCAGGACCTGTACTGTGCTGTTCTGATTGGTCAGTGCCCACAGTGTCAAATATCATACAAAGCTACACACACACACACACGTCACATTTTCACATGATACACATCCATACATAGCACAGACATTCAGCCACATTCTCATACCATACACACTGCATGCACAACTACATTACTCACAACCATATACACACAGCTATACACTACAGATAACATATACACATGCAGCCCTCCCACAATACAGCCACATACAACATACATGGCTATATACATACCACACATAGCCACACAGCCATACTCTCACAGAGCACATACATAAAAGACACACAGAGATGCACGAACCATACCCCCTACACACACAAAGCTTAAATATATACAGTACCCGGCACAAGGCCTACTTATTTAATCATCAGTAAATGCCTGCTAAGTGGTATAAATTCCTTTGGCTCCTACGGCCAAGGACAGAAAAGGAGAGAAAGAAAAAAGTATTTCTGATAAGACAAGAGTGATGGCATGTCCTCATCCTCTGGGCCTTGAAGAAATAATGACATTTCAAAAAGCTGAGGAGAGCTGGGCATGGCGGTGCACGCCAATAATCCCAGCACTTGGGAGGCTGAGACAGGAAGATCACTAGGAGTTTGAGGTCAGCCTGGGCTACACAGTGAGTTCAAGGCCAGCCTGTTCTACAAAGTGAGACTCTCTTCTCTAAAAAACATAGTTGAAATGCATGGTAGAAATGCTGTTCAAAATGACAGAAACAAAGGGATAAGGGAGGGAAGGACAGACTATGCTAAGCACTGATGGCAGAGAGTGAAGACTGATTTTTGGGGGGAGGGGGGCGGTAAGGGGGATCAAACTTGGGACCTTGTGCTTGCGAGGCAGGCAGCAGAACCACCGAGCTAAATCCCTGGCCCTGATAATTTCTTTAGAGCTGTAAATATTTTTGGAAAAAAGCAACAGAGTAAAAGAATGGGCACTGACTGCATTTAGTGTAGGGTTACAATAGTGACACAGACAATCTTTATAACTCTTGGCAAATTAGTCACCCAATCTAGCCTCAACTCCCTCATCAGCAAACTGTGACACCTATCTACTCCACAAGACACTATATTAGAAAAAATGCCCATAATTACACTCAGCAGAATGTGTGACATATACTGATCATACAGCAAATGGCAGCTGCTATTACAGCTGTTGAAGATATTATGTACTAGCTTATGACAGACACAAGAATTTTTAAAATCCTTTAAATGATCTTAATAGGAAAGGAAAAATATTTTAATTAAAAGAGTACAAGATTGTATCTAATTCTCTCAAATGTGAAATAGACATAGAAAATCAATTCTTTAAAAAGCAGAAGACGGCAAACTATTTCTGTAAAGGGTCAAATAACACAACTATTTAGTAAATATTTAGGGCCATTGGATCACTACTGTAACTATTCACCTCTGCTTATACCATGAGAACAGTAGAAACAAGACATAAAGGGATGAAAGTGGCTGTGTTTCAACAAAACTTTATTTAAAACAAAGGAAGACAAATTGTCATTTAACAATCACTGTTAAGAACTCCTTAAAGAATTTGGATATGTAATATAAAAAATAACAGGCCTGCTTCACTTTCAAAAACGCAGGTAAGGGGCCGGGGATATAGCTCAGCGGCACAGTGCCTGCCTGGCAAGTGCGAGGTCCTAAGTTCGATCCTCATTACCAAAAACAATAAAAAACAAAAGAAAAAAGGCAGGTAAACATCACAAAGTATTTATTCTGATACTTACAATTCACCTCCTTGATCACCCTTTTAAAAATTACAATCACCCCTTCTTTCTATCCCCTCCACACACATACTACCAACTCCCCCTGCCCCAAAGCTTACCTTACTGATTGGAATTCTATTTATTTGTCTATTATTTATCATCTGCCTTCCCTTGTTAAACAGTAGTTCCCTGAGGGTTGGTTAGGATCTGTTTGGTTTTACTAATATAACTCACACTCCTACAGTAGTGGCAAGGATTACAGAAGCTCACTAATAAATATTTCAAGTGAACTGAATAAAGGCCAGGCTTGTCTCCAGAATCCATTTCATACTTACTTGTATGTATTCTCACCCACTGTTTCTCAGGAATCTCCTGATTCCTACCCACTTTCTCCTTTATGTGCCTACAGAATCTTGTGCTTGCTTTTACAGTGATTTACAATCATCTGTTTATGTCTGCTTCCACTAGTAGTTTATAAGCAACTTCAGGAAAGGGACTGAGTTGTCTTAGTAATCTTCTGCAGCATAAGGCTAGATGCTTCAATGTCTTTTAAATAAATGAGTGAATGGATGAGATTTTAATTTACTCTCTGCCCCTTCCCACTCAACCTAGGCTCCAGTAACTGAATGCAATGAGTACATGGTCTTCTCTCACCTCCCAAACTGCTATTCTGAGCAATTATAATTTACCAAGGTCAAGCTCTATCTAGGGGTGAATTCTGGGTCAATGTACAAGCAAAAAGATTTAGGATTATGATTACCACCCTCAAATAGTTTATAATACAATGTAGTGAAATAGACCATGAATTCCACAAATTGTCCTAAGTTCCAAGAAACAATGACAGGGACTGTCCCTTGGTCACCTCTGTACCTACTTCTCAGTGTCCAGCATCTGGGGCATGATACAGGAGCCAATAATAATTAACATTTTTAAAAGGTTCTACAAAGTACTAGGGTCTTGGACTAAGCATTACATATGAATCACCTCATTTCATTTTTAGAACTATTCATTTGTCATCCTTATTTTAAAGATGAGGAAACTGAGGCTCAAGAGAAATAATTTAGCCATGAGCTCATTATAAGTGGCACAATGGGAGCCTGTGTCCATCATTCCAAAGCCAGGGCTTTTAATCATTACATTAGTACTAGTGGGAGAAAAGGCGGAAAGGAAGGATGGAAAGAAGAAAAACAGTGCCACGGGAGTTCAGATGCACAGGCATATCTTCCTGAAAGGATCAGAGATGAGCTGCTTCACGGAAGAGATGGCATTTCAGCCAGGACTTTCAGGATGGGCTGGTAAGCAAGGCCAGGACTGGCAGAGAAAGGTCGCTCACTACCTAATGAAATGGCAGTGGAGTTAAAATACACTTATGTTCATAGCACATTTCTAAGATTTGGGAAAGTACAGGGCCTACTGGGCTGGTCTTTCTTAGGGGCACAATACAGGGTGGAATGAATTGAGGCAGTGACAGAGCCAAGAAGATGGACCTGGTATCCACAGATGATGAAGGCCAAAGCCCTGGGTTAGAGGGGAGAAGACAAGTTGGAATGTGATCTGAAAGGTCAAAGTTCCAGATCTGGGGCCAAGTCAGGGAGTGGGGAAAGAGAAAGAAGAGCTAGGAAAGATCAGGTGTTAGAGCTAAATAACGTGTCAGACATAGAGGACTAAAGGAGTCCGAGGAGATGATGAGGGAGAAGAGACAAAAGCTGCAATCAGAGGTGTTGGAGGCCAGGACCCCAGAGGTTGGGCTGTGCCCTGAGGACGAAGAGAAGCCACTGGAAGAGTCCACAGTGTTGTGGAAGATAGGAGCTGGGTTCAAACGTACCCCAGGGTGGGAGAGAACGAGCAACTGACTCCAAAGGTATGGTCAGTGGCGGGCCTGAGGCACTCAAAGGCCAGCCGAAGAAGGGCGGGGTAGGTGTGGAGACCGCGCGGGCCGGGGGACCCGGACAAGGGTCTGAGCGGAGGGACCACGGGCCTTTTGCTCCCCACTATCTCCGGGGGCAAAGCAGCATCCAAGTCCGAGGTGAGAAGGAAGGGATCGTCCTCAGAGTGCCCAGCAAAGATGTATCCGCCTCCCCCACCCCCGCAACCCCCGCCCAGCCGAGACCCACCTCGCTCCCGCCGCTTGGTCAGGGACAGCTCCGCCTCTGAGGGCCCGGAAAGAGCCGGAGACGGAACCCAGGAAGGGCCCGCCCTGCAGCTCTGGGATTGGGTTCTAGGGACAATCTTCCTTCCTATTGGCTGCAGTACCTGCCATAACGCACGCGCCCTTGCGAGAGCACCAATAATCTTTAGCCTCCTGCCTGGCATGCTGGGAGCTGTAGTCCTGAAGAAGACAGTCGCCTCTTGCCAGGCAGAGAACCTCTGAGAAGTTTAGAACCGGGCTGTAGGTAGCTCTTCTGCTTCCTTTGAGTGGCAGTCCTTGAAGAACCTCTGGACAACCAGTGAGGCCTAGAGTATGGCACCTCACTCAAGATTTATAGTTTAAAATTAAAGGAGTGTGGACCTGGAAGGGAGTTTAAAGATGAGTAGTAGCTCAATCCCCTGTTCACTGTTCAAGGAGACCTCTGGCTCCCAAAGCAAGGCTTCTTCTGGGTCCTACATGCATCTTCAATTAAATCTGACGCTTTCAAAAGAGATACACAATACCACTAAAGTATCCTGGACTAAGATTTTATTTTTCATGTTCTATTTTAAAAGATAAAGACTAATTGAGGTTAACTACAGGCTTCTCAAGATCTCCATGGTATTTCAGTCCAAAGGAAGAAAAAAGGGTAGGGGGGAACCGTGCCTTCAGAGGTAGAGAGACCAGGTTTATAATCCCAACTCTACCACCTACCATTTGAAGCACCATTTTCCTCCACTATAAAATACCTGGCAGAATTATTATAAGGATTAAATGAGTTCATAGATAGATAGATGACAGACTGATAGCAAGATACGTAGAGCTTCTGCTTCCACACTGTTCAGTTTCTCACTGGTTAAGTTTTCTCAGTGAGTGGGGCCAGTCAAAACAATGTAAGTTGCTTTTAAGATTGGGGTATTTAAGAAAGTATGTTTGGAACTGAATATGTGTGAGTGAAATACAAGTATCTGTTGTACACTATTAGTTGATAAATTGATTAAAAATGGGCTAGGGACGTAGCTCAGTGGTAGAGTGCTTGCCTAGCATGTTTGAGGGCCTGGATTTAATACCCAGTACCACAAAAAAATTTTTTTGAAAAAAAATACTAGAGGGCAGACTCAGAAATAAAAGTGGCTTTAGTATGAACTGTGGTTAAAGCTTGCTTGAGTGGACTCAAAACTGTCTAGAAATTGATCTCATAATGCATTTTTTTCCTAGCAACCAAAGTCGCCACAATTTCTCATTTATAATGAAAACAATAGCATGCCAAACAGTGAATAGCAAAGGTTTTATTGAAGAAGTATGCAAAAGCAAATGAGAAGTTCCACTCAGGCATTGTGGTGGTTAATTTTATGTATCAATTTGACTGGGTCACAAAGTGCCCAGAATTTGGCTAAACATTATTCTAGGTGTTTCTGTGAAGGTGTTTTTAGATGAGATTAGCATCTAAATAAAAAAACAAGTGAAACAGAATGATCTCCTTAATGTGGGTGTGGCTCATCCAATCAACTGAAGAAATGAATAGAAAAAGCTGACCTCCCCAAGTAAGAGAAAATTCTTCCTGTCTGACAGCTTTTTGACTGGACATCAGCTTTTCCTCCATCTAAAGACTTGAACTGAAACACTGGCTCTTCCTAGATTTCAAGCCTGCCAGCTTCCATAATCATATGAATGCTTATGAACTATTTTCTTTGACTAATACAGGCACTAATGGGAAGATTTCTGATTGACTGATTTAGCTTCTGTTGAGCCAAACTATGTACCCATCTGCAAATGGATAGCCAATATCTCCACAAACAGGCCAGACCACATATATGGTGTGACCTGAAAGTAACTAGCCTTCTTTCTGAAAATCACACCCAAAAATCAGATTCATTATTTTATCCTCACACCTTTCAGATGAGAAGGCTGCCAACTTCATTGAAATCAATTCTCTCTGACCCAGGGCTATTTCATGTACAAATCACCAAGTCTTCCAGCATGATAGTTATGGAGAAAGCTCTATATGAGTGATTAAAATTGCCACTGTTTGTCACTGGACCTCTCTGAATCTTAAAGGGTATTCAAAAGAGCCAGCACAGCTGACCGATTCATCTGCTCCTGTCTGTTCAGGGTCACATACAGCTGAACTGTTTGGTTTGCAGCTCCCTGACTGCGCCTATGGCTTCTCAGGATTATGGTTGCTGCTCTGGATGTCTCCAAATTATGTTGTAAACAACATCAAGAAAATGGAAAGACCGAGCACTCTGTGAGGCTGAGGCAAGAGGATCCCAAGTTTGAGCCAAGCCTAGGCACCTTAGTAATTTAGAAAGACCCTGTCTCAAAATAAAAAATCAAAAAAGGGCTGGGGATGGAGCTCAGGACAAAGGCCCTGGGTTTAACCTCTATTATTGCATTTGAAAAAAAAAGAGAAAAGAATGGCCTGTTTTAACCCTCTGTCCTACCCCGATTCCTGAAGAAGAAAGGAGGGTGTGTGATCCAGAGCATGTTTACTTTTTAAAAGCTGACTGGGAGCTAGAGGCAGAGAGAGAAAAAAAGAAAAGAAAGAAAGAAAGAAAGAAAGAAAGAAAGAAAGAAAGAAAGAAAGAAAGAAAGAAAGAAAGAAAGAAAGAAAAGAAAAGAAAAGAGAGAAAGAGAGAGGGAGAAAGGGAGAAAGGGAGAAAGGGAGGGAGGGAGGAGGAGGGAGAAAGAGAGAAAGGAGAGAGACAGAAGTGGGAGGGGGGGGCAGAGAGAAGGAAGGAAAGAGGGAGCATTCTTTGGTGGAAAAGTAAGAAGTTACACCTGGGAACTGTAACTTCAAAGCTAGAGCATAGGATGAGATAGGCAGAGGTTCCTGTAAATATCCTCTCAAATAGAGAATGCTTTCCCTGAGCTTGAGTTAACCCTGGTGACACACATCCAATATTTTTGCCTACACCTAAATTGAGCATTTGGTTTTTAGGAACTCTCCTTCCATGGCAATGGGAGCTTCAAGTCCCTAGAAGAAAGACAGGGTTTAAAACTGAGCCCTAGGAAAAACGTGGTACAAATAGAAAACACAGAAGGGTCTGGATTTGAGTTAAGGAGAAAAGATATTCCAGAATCAGGTGTTGAGCCAGGAGCCTTGAAATCCAGGAGCCTGAACATTCTGGGTGGCCACGGGAGCAGTTCATGAGGCATATCCCTAAAAAGAAGGAACCTTGAGCTTTTGAAGGGCTGGGCCAAGGTCAGAGGGCCAGGACAGGATCATATCCTTGAGTGGGAAAAGCTCCGGGGCCTGAGGGGGGAGTAAGGAAGAGTTCATCTTCAGGGCCACATCTCCATTAGCATGGGCTTTTTCTTTTGGCTTGGGGACAGTTGATTCCTCTGATTTCTGTAGTTCTGAACAAATGATTAGAGGTGCTGTGTTTTCCCCTCCATCATGAAGACAAGGTTCAAAGAAAGGGCGGAGGGGGCCAGAGAAACTGTGAGTGAAAGTAAAGATGTGGGATTTGCTGGTCACATTGTAGAAGGAGATGATGCCAGCTTCATAGTCCAGGAAAATCCCCACACACCTGAGAGGCTCTTTCAGGCGGAAGGAGGTCTGCGGGGATGTGAGAGCTTCATACTCATTCCTACCACTCTGGCGAACAAGCCAGTGTCCATTGGCAGGTGAGGCAGTGACCTTCCCCTTCCTAATCACTGACTCACTGCACACCCCAAGGATCCACTTGGTCTTGCCTCCCACATGCACTTCCCAGTAGTGACAGCCAGCTGTGAAGTACTCAGACCCCAGGATGCTGACAACGAAATCAAATCTCTGCGGGTTGTCGGGCACAGCCTGCTTTCTGTCACCAAGTCTCACACATCTCCGGTCCTCAGACAGGATGAGTTTGGGATGTGCTGTATCTGGATCCAGGGTCACTGCCTCTGCAGAGAGTCACAGAGAGGTGAGGTTTGGCAAAGTTGGGTCTTAAGGCATCTTTGGTAGCTTGGGAAGAAAAAATAATCTGTAGTTTTACAATCACTGTCATTGACTCATTTTTTTTTTTTCTCATGAGTCCCTGGCCCCTCACACATACTAGAACTAAAGAATACTCTCTTTAAAATAGTAGGTCACCTTGTAGGGTATAAAATAAAAGAGGAAAAAGTTTATCTATCTTGAGAAAAACTACCTTTGTCTTTGATGTTCCAGTGGAATCTAATGCACGATAATAAACAGGATTGATGCTTTTCCATACATGACTTTGGGCTTATTATTCATCTCTAAGCTTAAGTTTCCTCATCTGTAAAATGGGAATAATAGCAGAACCTATATTGAAGTGTTGCCATGCTGATTTAATCAGTTAATGCATGAAATTGTGCCTCATTCCTACGGTGACTTGTGTTGTGCTCATTTTGTTACCCAAAATTGTTGCTTACAATGAACATTTTTAAAAGTTAACATAGAGACAAAGATTTTTCCTTAAATTGTTGATTGTGAAGGTCATAGTATGACTCCCTCTTCCCCTAAACATAGGAAACAAGATCTTCTCTGAGTGTTAAATCTATGAAATCCATATTTGTTTGAGGTGGTGGGAGTAAGCTAGACTGTGAACTCAAGATAGGCAGGCTCATGAGTTCTCATAATGCCAGTCTAGGTGACCTATGTTATTTCAAGTGACCAGCTGATCAATTGTATTTGTACTCTGCAGGAAGGAAGATAGTATGAACAGGAAGGGAATTAACGGTCTAGAAAATTGATAATGAGCCCAAAGCAGTGAAAATAACAATCTTGTTCCAAAATCTGCAAAAATACAAATTATTAAGGAATAGACACAAAGAAAGATGTATAAATCTTTTAGAATAAAATTATGAAAAATTTTTATAGTCTATATTTGTTGGGGCATCTGCCAACTCCTGCCCTTTTCTGAAAATCTTCGTTACTACCCACCACCCACCAAGAAAACTGGTCTGCAGAGAAAGAAGGATGTGGCAAATGCATAGAAGCAATGGCTGTTTACCCCACTATGGGCTAGGAAAGACTTCCCAAACTGGAAATCACCTGAAAACATGACACAGGAAAAAAATTAGAGCATTCAACTGCATAAAAATAAACACTTGGCCATAAAAAAGTACTATAAGGAAATTAACAGTCAAAAAGTAGTCCAGCTAGGACAGGCACAGACAAGACACAAAAAAGAAATAACTGACAAACTTAAGAAAAATCTCAAAAAAATAAAAGGAATCTCATAAGATCAAACCTAATATTTATCAGTGCTCTGAAAGGAGACTTTCCAAATCTAAATGTGACACTCAAAAAAAATCTCAAAGATTTTTTAAGTTTGATAACTAGATACAGCTGGGCACAGTGGAACACATTTGTAATCCCAGCTACCCAGGAGACTCAGGAAGGAGGATTACAACTTTGAGGCCAGTGTGGGCAACTTAGCAAGACTCTGTCTCAAAAAATTTAAAAAATATGTGAATAAAGCTAAGCAGTACTGGGAGTGCAGCATATCCCAATATTGGAAAGAAAAAAAAAAGCTGGTAAACAGATTTGATTAAAAAAAATTTTAAGTACAATTTGCTTTCAAAAGGAATGGAGCAAAACCTAAGGTTACAGAGCCTTCTGAAGGATGAGCTCTGAAATGAGGGTCAATTTGATTGGTATAACTTACCAAAATGCAGCCGAGCTCTTCTCCAGCCTGAAAGACATGAAAAGGGTACAATGGTTGGGATCATGAACCTCTCCCAAAGAACCATGTGTTGAAGGCTTGTTCCTCCACATATGGTGCTATTAAGAGGTGGGACCTAGCGAGAGGAAGGTAGGTCATGGGGGTGTGCCACAGAAAGATGTTGGGATCCCGGCACCTTCCTGTTTCTCTTTCCTTCCTAGCTGCCATGAAGTGAAAAGCTTCCTCATAAGTGCAATAAAAAACTACAGCGAATGTTTAATTTTTTAAAATTTCATGAGTAAAAAATATATTGCCATTAATCCCCTTCCAAATCCTCTCTCTTGCTTCAAACACATCTCATTGTTCCTGCCATTTTCTGAAGCAGCTCTGGAAGTTTTCTTTCATGTCTTTAGTAACTGTGCTGTTGTTTGCCTCAATGTCTTGAATCAATTCAAAACATTTAACTTTCATGCTCAATTTGAGTTTGTGGAAGAGCCAGAAGTTGTACACTGCCAGATCCAGTGAATAACAGTGGATGAGGATACACTGTAGTGTTTTGGTTTTGGTTTTGGTACCAGGGATCGAAATCGGGTCCTTGTGCTTGTGAGGCAGGCGGCAGCACCACTGAGCTAAATCCCTGGCCCCTACACTGTAGTGTTTTGATGAGCCTGTCTTTCCACTAGATAATACGCAACACCAGCATTCACTATATGTTTACTCATATCTTGTAAAAAATTCCAAATTGTTTCAGAAAGTGGCAAGAATAATGGGGTGTGTTTGAATTGAGGGGGAATATTCTGAGGGGGATTTAATGGCAATGTGTCTTTTACTGTAATTATTATTATTTTTTTTTTTTGGTACAGGGGATCGAAGTCAGGTCCTTGTGCTTGCGTGGCAGGCAGCAGAACCACTTAACTAAATCCCCGGCCCATATTTTTTTATTTTTTAATTGCAGCTACAAAGCAGAGGAAGAGGCTGGGTCCCAATATTTCCTTCTCTGGCATGCCCCCAGTGACCTAATTTCTGTCTACTAGGCCCTGTCTCCCAAAGGTTCCACCACCTCCCAGCAGCATGATATGCTGAAGAACAAGCCATCAACACATGGCCTTTTAGGGGACATCCGAGACTCCATATACATTGTATTTTAAATTTTTTATTAGTACATGATTGCAATACATACTGATTATATTTATCACAGGGAGTTTCAACATGTATATAACACATCTTAGTTCTTTTTTTCATTCCCTTCCCCTCCCAACCCTCTCGCCTTCTTCCAACTCTTGGTCACCTTCCCATTTGCAAAAACTGTATGTTTTCTATATATTTTAATTCTCATATAAAAGAAACCATGTGATATTTAAGTTTGTGCATCTGGCTTATTTTACTTAGTATTATGGTCTCAAGGGACATCCATTTACCTACATTTCTTTTTTTATCAGAACTTGTGCCTTGCCAGAGGCCCAAAAGCAATGGGCAAACTGACTATGGATTGAAACCTCCAATACTGTGAGTCAAAACAAACCTTCCCTCCTTATAAGTTGTTTATCTCAAGTATTTTGTTACAGTGAAGGAAAGATTGACTAGCACAAGGAGATCATTAAAGCACTAGAGAAAATGAGAACTCCCATAGGGTGAGAATCAAACAAGGGGCAAGTGCATCTCACCTGAATTGGCTGCGCTTCTTTTCAACTCTGTGGAGGAAGAAATGAAAAGGATGAGCTCTCACTAAAAATACTGAGGCAATAGGAGGTAAGGTGGTATGGAAGTTATAAGAACATGAGAAACTTACTCAGTTCACTCCGGAGTTTCTCTAAAGAATAAAAACAGTTTGACAAATCAGAATGAGAGCTACTACATAGCCTCAATGTTCCTGTCCCAGTCCACCCATATTCCAAGAGCAGATCCTCAATAGCCATGGAACTTTCCCATAAGAATGTCTGCAAAGCCAATAGGTCCCTAGAGTATGACAGAGGATCAGCAAATTCCTATGTAACCCAAACCTTACTTGTAGACCAAATAAATAATACATTTCACACCTATAAGCAATGATAATATAAATGTATATGGACGTTTGGGGAGAACATAAATTCATATTTATACATATATGTATACAATATATGTGCATGTATATATACATATATATATTTAGGTTTTTTGCAATACTGAGGATCTAATCTAGAATGCATGCTATGCAAGCATTCTACCACTGTATATCCTGAGCCTACAATTTCATTTAAAACTATCACTGAGTCATTGTTTTGTGTATATTTTCTCCACATAAAACCATATATTTGTGTGTGTATGTGTGCGTGTGTATGTGTGTGTGTGTGTGTGTGTATTTGCAGATTTTTCTATGGTTTTTCAAGACAGAGTCACTGTGTAGTTCAGACTGCCCTTGAACCCACTATGTAGCCCAGGCTGTCCTCAAACTCACAGATACTCCTGCCTCAGCCTCTGGGATTACAGGCATGCAACACCATTCCTGCCTAAAGATTGTTTTTAATGTTAAAAAAAAAAAGTTTTCCCAAATCCAACGGTAGAAAAGCACTGGTCTAGCATAGTCAGTCTGATGGAGATTGATCTGCCTTGGACCTCACCTAAGGGAATCCCATGCCTGGGTGATAAAAGGGACTTCCAGTTGCTTCACCTTTGGAAAGTGCATGTCTTCTTGGTGAAGTATTTCTGATTTAGAGACTAGATAACAAGTGAGCAGGAAATAGGAATGGGAACACTTGAGAAAAGAGGCCTTTGAGAACCAAGAAATCCCAATCTTGTGGTTTGAATTACCCTTGCTCCCTCCTTTCTGCCCAGAAAGTGAAACTGAAGCACTCATCTAAAAGCAGAAATGCCAGCAAAGGGAAGTTTGTGCCTCGGAGGAGGAGCAAGACTTACTGATGGCTTTATGGAGTCTTCCTAAAAACCAGAGAGAGAGACAGAGGAGTGAGTAATCAGATCCTGTCCCTTTGTCCCACCTGCCCTGGGAAACTCACCACTCCACCCCCCATGATGGAAAGGATGATGATGTTTCCATCAGTCCCTACTCCAGTCTCCTGTCCCAGGGGTCAGACTAAGAAATCCAATGGTGCCAGTGACCCTTTCCTGATGCCCCAGACTTTGGTTTCTCCTTTCTCTTCCCTTTTGACTGTCTGGTTTCATTTCTGGTAAGTGTTTCCATATGTTTGTAATCACAGTCCATGGTGCATGCCTTGCTGCCCTTATTCAATCTACTGTTTATGATGTCTAAATTGCACAGCTAGCTGAAGGCTCAACATTGACTTATTGATATGACTTTATGATTTTTTTTATAGTAACTTCCATGAAGTTACAATTTTCACAAATTTGGAGGTCTAAGGTTTGGAAACATATGTATATTGCTTCATGTGCTTTGGGGGAATACTTGTGACCTCTCTAGAGGGATCATCTGGCCCACATGTTCTCCTACCTAGCATTTGCCCTGCCAGAGAATTTAAATTATACCCCAGAGTGCACTGCCAGGCCCTGTGCTAAGGGGCTGGACATGGGTTAGGCATTTGGCTCTGAAACAAAGATACTAAATATGTCACAGTTCCTTGGGTGCTATGGTTAATGGTTGCCATTTCCACTACTAATAGCTTCTACTGATTGTTTCCTGTTCTTATGCGTACTAAGGTAAGTGCTGAATCTTCTCAACAATGTGTAGTGCATAGAATTATTATTCTTGTTTTACAGAGCAATAATCTGAGGCTCTGAGGGCCATGAAATTTGCTCAAGATCATCTAGCTAACAAGTGGCCAAAGAGGCAGGATACAAACCCAAGTCTGACTCCTGAGTCAGAGGCTCCCACATCACACACACTGTCCCTTCCACTCTTGGGCAGGACGGTCACAGTGTCTATGCTGTGCACCTTACACTTTCACCAGCTTGGAGGAAATGTAAAGGGCAGGAGAGGAGATCATAAATAATATCATTGCATCTGGGGTCATCTGAGCCAGTGACCTGACTTCAAAAGGCTGTCTAATTTTTACCCTCAGTGGGCCATAGCACACATTCAATTAATGAAGGTAGTAAGGTGGCAATAAGAGAAAGGAGTTCTAGGTACTTTTACAGATGTTTTGTTTTGTTTTTTAAAGGTTGTCTCTTTTAATACTGAAAACTATCAGGTAAGAGTACTTATTATTCTCATCTTACAGATGAGGAAACCAAAGCTCAGGGCAGTAAAGCGACTTATCCAGGGCCAATAAGCAGTAGACCATTGATCTGAGTCAGGTGTCGCTGACTGTGATCCTTCCCTTGTGTCACTCCATCTCTCTCCATGCCAGGATTGTGTGGATTCTTGAGTTTTTCATACATTTAATATTAATATATGTTTAAACAAAATCCAGACTCCCTTCTTAAGTGATTGGTAGAAAGGCTGATGTAAGAAGTTCCCAAGGATCCAGAATTATGCATTTTGATCATGGGCATCCCCTCACCCACTGCCACCAACTCCATAGCCCCTTGATGCTGGAAACTGAATTCCAATAATATTCATAGAGTGTCAGTAATTATATACAAGGAAAACCAATATATTACTTGTTCCCTACCCTTGCTCTTTATGTAGCCTTACCTTTTTCTTTTGCATGGTCTTCCAGAAGATTTTCTAGAGGAGGAAAGAAAAAGAAAATAAGACTCTTTGCCATTACCTTGAGGACCCTGATTCCTACTGGTTTTACCTGCTCTTGAACCTGTCCACCTCTGTCCATTCTTTATTTCCTTCTCCCTGATCCAGTCCCTTATCATATCTCATCTGGATAACACAAATAGCAACCCACATTGTGCCCCACAGCTTGTCTTATTCTTGCTCTTCTCATGTTGTTCTGCAGCCAGAAAGAGATTTTCAAAGCACAATTTTGATTCAGTTATCCTCATTCATTGCTTTACCACTGTGCTTAGGAGAAAGGCGGAAATGTTTAACGTGATTTAAAACATCCCTCACAACTCAACTCCATCACCTTTCTCCCTCGTTTCTGCACCTTTTCAGCTCCTCATGTAAACATTTCTCCCTCTGACCATGTTTCTTTCTCAAGCTGTTATTTCTTCTGTGGATGGTTTTCCTTTCTCTTCTAACTCATGACTTCCCATCCTTCAGGTGGAACATCACACCCTGAGCCCTCAGGCCTAGTTAGTAATCCTGGTCACAGCCTTTGTAAAACTGAGAACTTTCCTTCGTGGAATTTGTACATATCTACTTGAGTAACTATTTAATTCATGTAATCTCCCTGGCTAGATTGGAAGTTTTAAAAGGCCAGAGTTGTGTCTGCTTTTACTCACCATTGAATTTCCAGGGTCTAGTATGGTGTAGGACATTTAATAGATAATTATCAATTATTTATTAAATGAATAAAGGCTTCCCCATGTTTGACCTACATAACTCCCACAGAAGATCAAGTAATGAGCTCACAGACAAAAATCACCAAATATACTGGAAGGTAAGCTATTACAAGTATAAGAGCTGGTAAAAACTGGAAGCAATGGATTTAGATACCATCATCATTACCAGGGACAGTGGATGATGGAACTTTCAGATACAGAATCTAATTAGTAGGCTTTGAGATACAAAAATCAACAAAACAGAAACATCTCCCCCGCCCCAGCCTAGGACACTTACCTACCTGCAATGCCTGTTCATAGAGAAGCTTCTCTAGAAGGAAGGGAAAGAGAGAGAAGTAATTTGGGATTTAAGAGGGGTTTTTTTCTAACAAGCATAACTGTCCAAAGATGACCCAAGCTGCTGGAGTAGGACTGACTGCTGGACATTACAGGTGTGTGACTCTTTGAAAAGATTACAGGGTCTTCAGGCCATCATATGGAAGGGGGAAAGAAGTGTTGGCTTGTGTAACTTTCCAAGACCATTGCTACCATGAGATCCTGTAAAATGTGACCATTTTTATGAGGGTTTAATCCAATGAATATAATTGGATTTCCTGATTAGAAGGCTTTAATTTCTTAATTAGAAGGCTAGCATGGTCAGTTGTCTAATTTCTCAAAGGATGAGTATTTATAAATCTGCCTAGGGCCTTTCTGCAGTTTATTGCATTCCCTCTACAATATGAGTCCCCGGATATACTCTACCAGTTTTCTCCCAGCCCTCTTGGAAGGTCTTAAACCTATGGACAGCATCATGGCTATTTCTACTTCCTTCTGGTGTTTTCCCAGAGTAGTCATAGTCCTACTTCCTGCCAGCCTGAGCTACCACCTAGTTACCTTTTGATCTTCTTTGCTTCCAGATGACATAAATGCCTGCTGTGATGAGCAGCAACAGGACAGGTAGGACCACAGCCAGACCCACTGTTGAGGAGGAGAGTCTTTCCGAAGATGGGACTGAAATAGACCACCAGTGAGCACCCTCAGGGAGACATCTGAGAGCTGCTCCCAGGCCGCAGATGGCAGATAGCCCAGGCACATCCCACCTGCCTCCATTGCCTCCAGGGAGAAACCCCAACCAAGAGACTGCTTCTCATGGTAAATCAAACCCTGGAGAACATTAAAAACCAGTGAGATGTTCATTTCTCAGGAAAGGTATTGATGGTCCTGCCTGAGGATTTTTTTTACTCAGATTCTCAAGCACAATTTTTTTCTATCCTAAACTCAGTAGAAAAAATAATGTGGGGACTTCGAGACCTCCAAGTGCTTTCCTTAGTAATCACCCACAACCTTCTCATGAGCACCTGTCTGACTCCCCTTCAAATCCTCGCCTGCTTGGAATAGCAATCAGCATCCTCTTTTCCCTGAGCACCAACAACAGGGGCAAAACAAGCTTTGGATGTCACAGCAGCAGACCTAATGCTTAGTCAGGACAGAAAAGAGAAAATAAAAGAGGGCTGTGACAAGTGATATGTCTTTGCTCAACCACTGTGTGACGCTATGCAAGAGACTCAGCCTCTCCCAGCCTGGTTTGCCTTGTCTGTCAAATGGGGATAAGGGTCGCTGCCTCCTAGGGTTTGAGGGAGATCTAAAGCAATCGGTCAGGTTAACCACTTAGCACCTAGGGAGGGGAAATGGCAGTAGTAAGAGAAGAGCGATGGGCACAGAAGGAGAAAAAGGGGACTAACAGATATCTGGCCCCTCTTCACCCGAAAACTCCAGGCACTGTGTATCTTTTTTGGCTCTAAAACCATGATTCTCTGTCTGTCTGACTCCACGTTTCAAGGGCTTTAAAAGACTCATGCCTTTTAGCCCATTAATTCTTCTTCCAGAAACACAGTCTAATAATCAGAATCACTTTCCCAATATGTGCAGAGATGTTCATTGTACCATTAGTTATGATGGGAAGGAAAAATGTTTTAAAAATCTAGATGCTCTAAATTAGACTGATTATTTTTTATTATTCTGTAGCACCACAGTGAAATCCTATGCAGCATCTCAAATCATGTTACAGAAAACTACTTAAGGGCATGGGCAAAAATGCTCATGACGCAGGCAGTGGGGGGAAACTCCAGGCCAAGAATACACATACAACTATCTATGCTACTTGGAGGTACATGCATGCCGGAAAGTCTAGAAAGAAATACATCAAAATGCTAGCGGTAGTTCTTTATCATTTATGAGGTTGAAGATCATTTTTTGGTTTCCTTAAAATGTTTTGCATACTTTTGTTTTCTATAATATATATGTTTTATTCTTAGAATTTTAAAAAAATTAAAAATTACAGAGTTTCTACAAGAGTAGGAGCTTCCTTGAGCCCCGTCAGGTAATTTAAGCCTATTTTCCATCTCACTACTTGCTATGACCACACCTGCACTCTTCTCTCGGCTGAAGACCATGTAGCAGACCATACAGGACACATTCCGGAGCGGGGGGCGGTGCTGTAGTTCAGTGGTGGAGCACTTGTGTAGAATGTGCAAGGTCCTTGGTTCAATCCCTACCACCACCACCAAGAAAAATGTTCATTCCCCAGAGCACTCTCCCTGACTGCTGGATACTGCTGTTCAGAAGAGCCCAGTCTGTTCAGGGAGTAGGGCTCAGACAGGGATGGAAGCCCCCTACCTTTGGGGTTTCTCCACTTGTTCCAAAGCTTTGGGAACCATCCCACTGAGCTGGACACCAGCCGGGTCCAGCCAGCATCAGACCTAAAGATCAGAGCCTGGAACTGGAGTGGACAGACTGCCTGGCTGAACCAGCCCAGGAACAGACTGGCAGGGCCTCAGCAAGTGTGTGGTTCTAGTCAGAGTCCTGGGTGCAGGGGATGCCCCAACATCAGCCTCCTCTGATAAACAGGGACAACTCTCAAAGTAACTTTAATGTCTGTCTCTCCCTTCCACACTCCCATTCTTCTCCCACTGGGACAAGACAGTCTCTAGCTTTAGCCAAATTCATTTCAAAATCCACTCATGGCAGTAGCTTCATCACATGATTCCAAATTCTTCTGGGCACTTCAGGCCCCATTTAAAAATTACTTTGTAACTTCCCATGTTTGGAAGGCATCCTTATACTAGCTACTGTATGTTTTAAAGGGGTTGATTTAAAGCTGTCACACATCCTCTTTTTGGTGTATGACTAAGTTATGACCAAAAGATAATCAGTGTGTAACAGTGTGGGCCTGGTATCACTCAAGCAAATTCAAAGACTTGGGTTGAGTTGGGTTGGGTTAGATTTTTGTAGGCTGATTCTTTTTTAAATACTGAAGTCCATTTGAGAGAAACTATCTCTACCTTCCTGGCCCTTTAAGTACTTGGGAACCCCAGGAGATACTCATTAAGTAAATCCATGTCACAGCTGGCTATTCTAGCCAGTGAAGACTTTTCCTTAGAGCCATAGTTAGGAGTTTCTTGATGATGAAGCAAAGAAATATGACCCAGGAAGGAAAAACTATAGTCTGAGTCAACAAGCTGGACAGGTCACTGGCTGTATTTAACCAGGACCTGCACTGTGTAGTGTTTTCCATAGCTCGGGTTTGTTCCTCATGAAAGGTCAGAGTCACAGTTTCACCTGTGATCAGAGGGCCCGGCTGAGTAAGGCTGGACCATCCATGCAAGTAAAAACTGCTTGCTGAAGAAAGAAAAGTCTGCCTACGGAGAGACAAAGAAGGTCCTCATAAAGCCATCCAGTCCCCACAAATGACCCCAAGCACCTCAAACCCATCCTAACCTGCAACCTTCAGGGTCACAGTGCCTTCTTGCGTCCAATTTCCGACCTGGATCTGACATTGGTATGGTCCTTTGTCCTCAAGGCTCACGTTGCGGATCCGTAGAGAGATTTTTCCCCCTTGGAGGTCTCTCAGAAGCTCTGTCCTGCCCTTATATTCTGGTATCACATCTTCATCTCTGTCCTTCCCACCCAGGAACATGTGCACAGCCCGGGAGCCCTGCTGGTGTGAGGGCCGCAACCACCTCACCTCCTCCTGCATGGTCATCGGCCAGACGGACAGAGGGCAGAGCAGCTCGGCCGTGCCCCCCAGGGAGACCAGGTGGAACTTGCCAGCATCCCCTGTGTGGCAGACAAAAAATAAATTAAAAAATAATAAAGACATGGCGAGTTGGGAGAGAGCTGTAGGAGAAAGAGCTTGGGGAGGAATGGAACTTGGGAAAGGCCCTGGAAATGATGGAGGGAAGAACAGAACCCAAAAAGAAGTTAAATCTCGGGCCACTCTTCCATTATTCTGGAGACTCCATTGGGAGAAAGGTTTTGGGGCTCCTACCTGACATGTGCTCTGGCAGCTGGAGGAAGATCAGAGTGAGGAGGCAACTGGACAGCCAGGACCCAGAGGAACTTGTCGTCTCCATCCCAACTAGGACAGACACCAGAAGAGGGCTGGTGAGCTTGATGGCGGGGGTTCAACCAAGATGCTGGGGCTGACACTGAGGCCTGGCCCAGGCTTCCAACCCCAGCTCCACTGCTGGCTCCCTTGTAGAATGGACTGAACTTTGCCGAACAAGTGTAATAGGTTCTGATCTTTTGCTCGGTGCTATGGCTCAAGGCTGAGAAAAAACCCCTAAAAGACAGAACTAACTAAGGAGACAGAAAAAACAGAGAGCCAGGATGACCAGCGCTACTTAATCAGCAAAGGCACTAGTCAGTCCAAGTCAGTGATTTTTATTGGTAATCAACTGGGGTAAAGGCAAGCTACATCCAAGGACAGGACTACGTTCAAGGATGTGGAGTTGTGCAGTTTCTATGGAAACTAATGCAGGCAAGGCTTGTAAAGGAAAAAGACAAAGCACTCTTGAATTAGGAACAGAATAGACAAACTATATGGTTATAATTAAATCCATATCCTTCTAGTCAAGAAGGTTTAATTGTGGGAACAGAATTTGGGTGTGAATCACTCTGACCTCAGCATGCAAGCTTCGGCAGGACTCACTTCTCAAAACAAGCCAACTGAGGGATTAATTCTTTACAGACTGCAGTGCTTACAGCTTGCTTTGGGTATAATCAATATTGTGGTCCCCTACAATGGGATTTCCCTCTTTTATACTTGGAAAAGGAAGGACAGCCATGTATGTGTCAGAGTTTCATGCAAGGAAAGGTGTCAGGACCTTTCTGGAAGCAGAATGTAAAACATGGATGAATAGATGCATGAATAAATGATGCATGAATGCATACCTCTGTACCATGAGTTGCAAAATGGGCAAATGATTTCCCCCTTATAATGGAATTCTTATTTTATTTTATTTTATTTTATTTTATTTTTGGTACCAGGGATCAAACTCGGGACCTTGTGCTTGCACAGCAGGTGCCGGAACCACTGAGCTAAATCCCCAGCCCAATAATGGAGTTCTTATATGAAGAAATTTGCCCTATATAATAAAGTATTTTACTTCCTAAAAGCATGCCACAATTCGGGGCTTTTTCTGTACTAGTTATAAGAATATTACCTTCAAAAAAAGACAAAAAATTTAAATCATCTATAATTTCTCCATCCAGAGATAATGTTTCTTCAAATATCTTTTCTAAGCATGTATATAACCTTTTAAAAAATAGGACTATATGTACTGTATTGTTTTGATACGTGGGTTTTCACCAAGCATTACATTACACATATTTTACTATGCCATCAATTATTCTTTTAAAGGCTTTAATGTTCTATCATGGACATATGAGAATTTTTAAAATAATTCCATAGTATGATATTTAGGCTTTTTCCAGTGTGTTGCTATACTGAACACTGCTACAAGTGATAGTGGATTGATGGCTGGAATCAGGAGGCTGTCCTAGTGGTGGCATGGCCTCTGACTTCAGGGACTTTATAAGTTCAAATAAGTCATTTAAACTCTTAGGCCTTGATAATGTCTCTCTCCTCTCTCTCTCTCTCTCTCTGCGTGTGTGTGTGTGTATGTGTGTGTGTGTGTGTGTGTGTGTGTGTGTGTGTGTGAGACGGCAGTACTGGGATTGAAACCAGGGCCTTCACACTGAGCTACATCAGAACTTTTTATTTTGGAACAAGATCTCACTAAGTTGCCCAGACTAGCTTTAAATGCATGATCTTTTATCTCAGCTTCCAAGTAGTTGGGATTACAGGAATGTACCACCGTGCCCAGCTGCATCTTTAAAACAGGAAAATTTTTAATTTGTGCTGCCAAATTGCCCTCCAGAAAGGGCACATCAATTGAACAAAGTATGCAAAATTGCTTGTTTTCATACAACCTTGCCTTCAGTGGATATAATCAATTTTTAAAACTTTTTCCAACTTAATGAGTGACAAAATACTCTTTTCTAAAAGCTTGGTGGTGTTTCATTTTCATTCGTACATTTTTGACTACTCATTTGGAGTTTCCCAGTGATCTGTCTGTATGTTGTTCACTTTTCTACTGTGGCATTTGTCTCTTAATGGCTCGCAAAAGTCTTCAAATAGTAACTATTTTCCCCCACTGTACATGTTGGAAATATGGCAGCCATGTACATTTAAATTTATAACAGTTTAATTTTTAAAACTTCTAGATAAATTAAAAAAAAGATTCCAGGGGCCAGGGATGTAGCTCAATGGTGCTGCGCCTGCCTGGGAAGTGCAAAGTCCTGAGTTCAAGATCCCCAGTACCGGGGGAAAAAAAGATTCTACACGTTTATAAATGATCAATCTGAAATCACACAGCACAAGACCCAGCAAATAGTAAGGGATATAATATTAATAATGACAATAATTAAATAAGAGTCTTTAGACAAAATATATCCAGTTCCCTTGTCACATGTTCCTTAAATAACAGTTAACTGTTGCCCCGTTTTATCCCTTAAGATGTTCTAGTAAATAAGAAAAAAAGGGAATTATTTTTTCAATGAACCTGAGAAAGTAAAAGACTTGAAAGAATTAAGAGAGGGGAGAGGGAAACAAACTCACCACTTTTGGAATCCAGGACCCTTGTCCCTCAGTGGCAGAGCTGGAGTCTCGCTGGAAACACTCCCTCCTCCATGGGGGGTTTCCGGCATCCAGCAGAAGGGCTAGATCGTCAGGAAGGGCCTGGTAAGTGGGCTTGGGAAAAGCTCATATTTTATTCTAAGGTCAAAGCCCTAAGCCAGGGACTTGCTCACCCCGAAGACTCCCTTCTAGTCCTCTGTATAAACAAACAAGCAACGCCCTGCCTGTCCATCCCTGATAAAGGAACAGACCAAAGAAGAGGCTCCTTAGAAGCAAGGGAACCACAGACTGCTGCAGGGTATAAGGGACCTTTGTCCTTAGCGCCCTTCTCCTCCAGCACTAACTGCCAACAGGGATTTCCTAGGATAGGATTGATCCTATCACACCCTTTCTGGAAAGCTGTTCCTCTTTACTTTTCAAATCAGAGTGAATTAGAAGATTGGCTTTAAAGGTACCATGAATTAGCCAGTTCTTTAACTTGCTACCTTTATCGATAACTTCACCTTGACATGTGCTTTCTGACAAGCAAACTTGCTGGCTGTCATTCAACGTGTGATAAACTCTTTCCCGCCTGTCTTGCTTTCATAATATCCAAAAATATATTCATAATATCCATAATTGTAGCCTTAACAATGCATTATATACTTCTAAGTATTTTGCACTTTACAGAGATACATCCTTGGTACAGAATTCCCTCTGATTCCCTTTTTTCCTCTCAACATTAGTTTTTGAGCCTAGCAGATTCCTGTGGTGACCCACACTATGTCCCCTCAGCTCATTCATTTTTGTTGCAGCTGAGTCTTGTAGACAAGCTGCCAGGTGACACTTCATAGGCCACAGCATCTCTTTGCTTACTTGTCTTGCTCTCTACAAAGCCTTAGTAGACGTTTCAGCCTGTGGGCAGCCCAGGAATTCACCAAGGTTAATACCCAAGGGGCATCAACTCACAGAGAGGGGAGTCAGAAGGGACAGTTCTGAGACGAATCCTATGTGACTCCCCAGAGAGTTCCCAATGGGGCTAAGCCACTGTAGCTCAATAATATACATTATATCAGTTTGTCTTTCTTTTCTTGTCACTTCCATTTCTGCTTCCTGGGATCACCTCCTAAATAAACTCTTGCACTGAAGGGCTTGTCTAACTCTGTGTTGGGAGAGTATAAATTAGGACATTACAATTCATCCAGTGTATAAGACCCTGGGTTCCATCTCTGGCACCACAAAAAAGAAAGAGAAAAATTCATCCAGGTTGCCTCACAGAAATACAAATATATTAACAATTTGCTCCCTTCCTGATAGAAATATGTGTTGTTTATGTGCTTTTGCTTTCACAAACAGTATTGCTATGAAATTCGTGATGAAAACATTTCCCAGTTCACAGTTCTAAGAGTTCCTCAAAAGCAGCAGTTCTCATGGTGCATGAGCCTAAGTCTGTGAGCCTTCTGGAGGTCCACTAGGCAGGTCAAAACCATGTTTATGCTATTGCCTTTTCCACTGTGTTGATATTTTCAAGGACACTGCAAAATCCTAATGGGTAAGACAATTGGTGCTTTAATACCCATCAATCAGTGGCACCAAACTAGAGCAAACATTACTTTATTAAGTCTCAATCCTCAGAAAGCTATCTTTCAATATTCTGTGAGACAAAATAGGAATGATGCAAAAGCCATTCTACTGCATATTAATGTGTGATGACTTTTTCAAGGCCATGCACTGTGGTGACTGAGCCAGGAAGTGAAGCAGTCACTAACTAAGCTCATGGAGTAAGGGAACAGGGAAGAAGATGTTGCTAGAGCCCCCACAGTGGCTCCTGGCCTCCTGTGAGCCATTACAGAACATGGTGAAAGAATAAAGACAGAAAACGAGACTTAGAAGAAGCTGGGTAGAGGGACCTGATCAGTACTGCTCTGGGCAACAAAGACAAAAGCCCTCAAGCACATCCAGTGTTTATTGAATACAATCATGGGAAGGAATAGGGAGCTGGGTATGCTTTGAAGGCATTCAGTGAAATACTGCTGAACACCTGGAATGATGGCACCAGGGAGGGCTGTTAGGGAGTAAGCACTGGTTATCTTGCTTCGGTAGAACAAACAGGTACTGGGACTGGGTGCAATTAGCAAACAACCCATCAGGTCAGTGAGAAGCCATAATTCAGGGGAAAGGATTTTAACTGGGATCACGCTGACCTCAACTGCATGTAACTCAGCAGAGCCCTGTCACTTCACAGACCCCGGCCTAGGTTTCCGTGGCAGCCATTGGGGGAGGGGCTATACTCACCCAGTCCACCATCTGACATGCCCATTTGAGTCAAGTAAAGCTTCGGTCTGACTCCTGATATAAAACAATATAGACAAATTATGAAAGCAAGAAGCAGGTGCCATGTACAGTCCACTAGTACTGGACAGAAATGTCTGCTACAATGGAGAGAACAACTGATATGCCGTTGTTTTTTCATACTCTGGGGCCCAGCAGATATTTTCTCCACAGCAACAGAGCTGCATCTGTTGTTTCAAGGGGGGGAAAAAACTACAGTGTTTATTCCCAAGAAAAAAATGTAATCATCTGAGTGAAAATTAGAATTTTGAAAAATTTTTATCTACTACCATGAGCCTAATAGCTTGTCAATAATAAAAGACTTTTTGTTTTTGGTACTGGGGATCAAACTCAGGACTTGCACTTACCAGGCAGGCACAGTGCCACTGAGCTAAATTCCCAGCTCAAAACTTTTTTGATGAGATTTGTAGTGATAGGGGTAGTGGAAGGGGGTTTCTTGATGTTGTATAATGAAATGTGTCACCATCTGAAAGATATGCATGCCTTGGCAAACCAATATTTTCCAAATGACCAATCCATGTCATAGTAAAATCATGCATAGGTAAAAGATCCATTCGAAGTGCAAGAACAACCAGTGGTTTTACTCTAACAGAATATAAAAAGTTCATTATTATGGTTTCATATTTCATGCTGTAATTAACCATTAAGAAATTACCACTTGCTCAGTTCTGGTGTAGTTTCAGAGAAGACTACCCATGGTTATCTGAAAAAGCTATTGAAATGCCCCTTTCCCCATTATAGATACTTCAGCCACATAGCACAATGCAGCTGAGTAGACAAAATGGCTGGGGTGACATATAGCTGTCTTGCATCAAGCCAGACACTTAAAAGATTTACAGAAATAGAAAACAATACCACTTTTCTCACTAATTTTTTCAGAGAATTGCTGTTTTTCATAAAAGTATGCCATTTGGCCAGGGATTTAGCCCAGTGGTTCCGCCACCTGCCTCGAAAACACAGGGGCCAGAGTTGGATCCCCAGTACCAAAAAGAAAAGGCACAAAAATATGCTGTTTATGTTAACATGTAATGTGCACATTTTTATTTTCAAGTGAAGTAGTAATTTGCCAGTTTAAAATTTTTAAAATTTTTAAAATTAAAAAAATTTTTTTTTTTTTGGTAACGGGGATCCAACTCAGGTCCTTGAGCTTGCAAGGCAGGCGGCAGAACCACTGAGCTAAATCCCTGGCCCAAATTTTTAAAATTTTTAATTGGCACATAATTGTACATATTTATGGGCCACAGTGTACATAATGCATAATGATCAAATTGGAGTAATTAGCATTTCCATCTCCTCACACATTTATCATTTATTGTGTTGGGAATCTTCAAACTTCTCTTTTCCAATTATTTAAAAATGCATAATAAATTGTTGTAAACTATATTTCTCTTATGTGCTCTTATAGAATATTAGAACTTATTCCTTCTATCTAACTATATTTTGGTACCCATCATCCAATCTTTCTCTATCCCCCCCAAGTTTTAATTTCTAATATGGCAAATTTCAAAAGATATAACCCACATAACTGAAGACCTTTGTGTCCTCAGTAATTTTTAAAAGAGTAAATAATTGCAGCGGGTGAGGTGGCTCACTCCTGTTATCTCAACACTTGGGAGGCTGAGGCAGAGGTATCACCGAGAGTTCAAGGCCACCCTTGTCTACATAGTGAGTTCAAGGCCAGACTGAACTACAAAGGGAGACCCTGTCTCAAAACAAACAGGGCCAGGGATTTAGCTCAGTGGTTTCACTGCCTGCTGCACAAGCACCGAGGACCTGAGTTTGATCCCCAGTAACCAAAACAAACAAACAAGCAAACAACAAAAAGTAAATAATTTCAAAGTGCAAAATAAAAGACAAACAATAGGGAAAAAAGGGAGAGAGAGAGGTTATTGTAATTCAGGATGACTAGTGTATCTAAAAGTATATTTTGGGGCCAGGGATTTACCTCAGTGGTGCCACCACCTCCCTCAAAAGGTCAAGGTCCTGAGTTCGATCCCTAGTACAAAAAAAAAAATTGATATACAACCAAAAGTATATCTCAATATAGTATAATTGTTTCATGTGAGTTTTTGTTTATTTATTTGTTTGTTGTGTTTGTTTTATTTGTTTGAGACAGGGTCTCACTACATAGTCCAAGCTGGCCTTGAACCTGTAGCAGTCTTCCTGCTTCAGCCTCCCAAGTGCTAAGATTACAGGTGTGCACCACCACACCTGGCTTGTTTTATGTGTTTTACATTTTTTTTTGCCTGTTAGTCTGGCTGTTAATCTGTGTTTATGATCATTAACATGATAAAAACTTGTAAAAGAAATAAATAAATCTGATGCAAAAACGTTTTTAAAAAACAGACAAGGAGGCAAAGGGGGGGGGAAGAATTGAGATGTGTTTGCACATGTGCCAATTCCCCACAATGAATATAATCATTATGGGCCGGGGATTTAGCTCACCGGTTCTGCCGCTTGCCTCGAAAGCACAAGGACCCGAGTTCCAGCCCCGGTACCAAAAAAAAAAAAAAAAAAAAAAATACTGCATTGAATATAATCATTATATACTGCCAATATGTACTAATAAAAACTTTTTTTAAAGAAGAGTAAATATTTCTAAAACATAGTATCTAGAACTAGTATCAAGAGGTTGTAGATTATAACATATTGTGTTCCAGAGTTATTGTACCAATTTATAACTTTATTTTCATAATTAGTATTTTGTTTCTTCCTCACGACACACTTTAACTCAATCAGATAATCTAAATCACATATAAAATGGATTTTTTCTGAAATGTTCTTTATGAGCTTCTAACTCCATAAGTGAAAAAAATAATGTATAAGCTTTCCTGCTAGTAGGACACAATACCCACACCCACAGTTTAAAGGAGGAGAGGTTTGCTTTGGCACATGTTTCAGGGGATTCATTCGATGGTCAGCTGGCTCCAAGGCAGAAACATAATAGTGGAAGTGGATGGAAGAGAAAAACTGCCCACTTCATGACAGCCTGGAAGCAGAGAGAGAAGGGAGGAGCCCAGTGGGAGCCTCCAAAGGCACACCCCCAGTGACACACCTCTTCCAACCAGGTTCTACCTCCTAACAGCAAGTTTAGCTCTGAACTCATCAATGAATTAATCCACATTCCAAAAGCTCCATCTCTGAAAGCATGAGGTTTTGGGGGAACATTCTAGATCTAAACCATAATAGATACAGATACAGGCATAAATATAACTCATAATTCCAGGCGCTTGTGATAACCTCTATAATATTTTTGGCTCATATGCTTCTACACCTTTTTTCTCAAAAAAATTTAAACCATGCTATACATCAGAATGAATAAACTGGCTGGATGTGATGCTGCACACCTATAATCTCAGCACCCAAAAGGCTGAGGCAGGAGGATTACTGTGAGTTCAAGGCCAGCCTAGGCTACATATAACAGGTTCAATTTCAATAATTATTTCTTGATTTCATCCTTAATTTTCAAAATTTATTTTGGGGGAGTTTATAATCCCTTATTCCTTAACCACAGGTCAAAATACAAATATTAAATCATGCTCTGCTTTAAAGGAAGAGAAAGAACTCTGGACTGCCAGCTAAATAAGCCCAGTTCACTGAACACAAATGCTTACCTCCATCTCCTAAAGTCCCATTAAAATTAAAATCTTGGAATAAAAAATCAAAGACAACTGGTCAGAAAACAACTGTGAAGTAGAAATGTCAGACATTTTTCAATGAAGGGCAACAGATGAGTGACTAGTAATCAATCCAGTGAAAACAGAAACCTAACCCAGGTGCACACTGTGTTGGGAACATCAACAAGAGGAAAGCTGCTTCTCAACTGAGGGCCCTCCAGGCTTGGAATGGGTGGGCTGGGGCATGGCTGTACCTCATTGGGGGGTAAGGATTAAACTAGTTCAAATATGTCAAATATTTAAAACAGAGTTTCACACTGATAAACTGTGGCCATTATTACTATTTGAGAAAAGACTCCAACTAGAAAGCCAGAGACCAAAATAAACAAGAACCTAGGAACCAGAAGAAAGCAGCAGAAAATTATAACTAATATTCTCATAAAGACAAAATAAGATTCAATTCCTGGTACCAAAAAAAGAGAGAGAGAGACAAAATAAGAGAAGAATCTGAGCCCTTGAGGTTACCAAAACCAAAAGACCTTGAGGCTACCAAAAAGGAAAGTCAGGAAAAATTTCTGGAAATTAAAATTTTTATAGTAATGGGGCTGGAGGTATAGCTAAGTGGTAAAAATAAAAAACATTAAATAGAAAAAGTGGAGGACACAGTTCAGGAAAATGGCTAATAAAGTAAACAAAACCAAGAAATGGAATATGAGCATCAAGATTGAAAAATAAGGGAGCTGATTACAAAGAATTTTCCAAAAATTAAAGATTGTATTTACTGATTAAAAAGGGCTACATTGTGCCCAGCACAATGAATGAAAAAGGTTTGCCAGACACATTATTATGAAAGTTCCAAATATCAAGGATAAAGCAGGAGAAAACACCCTATATTGCCATAGACGAAGGAACAATTTACATAGAAAGTAACAAATCGAAATAAATCAGACTTCTCAAGAGTCCTTCAGCCTATGAGAAGCTAGATGACAATGGATCAAACATTCTGAAGGAAATAAAAGCCATTTTTTGGACAAGTGAGAGCTCAAAAATTTGCTTTCCATGAAGCCCTCTAGGGGATTACTGGAGAACATTCTCCTCCAACATGACAGCATAAACTAAGAATGGAAAGACAAAAGATCTGGAAACGGGATCTGGCACAGGAGAGACAAGAATTCCTAGACGTGTTTAGGGGAAATCCTGTACAGAACTATGTGGCAAGGCCAAGGAAACGGATTGGAGACAGAGGAGGATAAGTTTAAGGAGGAATGTTACCAAGAAAAAAAAAAGAGGGGCCGGGGATTTAGCTCAGTGGTTCCACTGCCTGCCTCGAAAGCACAAGGTCCCCAGTTCAATCCCCTGTACCAAAAAGAAAGAAAGAAAGAAAAGCACATTGATAGATCATCTGGTTCATGACCTACCACACTAGGAGACACTTTCTAGTACTGATAGAGAGTGTGCAGAAGAATTAGCTAGATGCATAGGTAATTAAGTGAATTTTTAGAAATGCAGTTTTTGGCCCCAAAAGGGGAAAAAGTTACTCAAAAAGTGACTATAATCTTATACAGTACATACCTCCAGTGTAAAAATATTTCGTAGTTTTAGTAATATAAACTCTGATCATGGATTCCATTAGCCAGGGAATTCTGCAGCTTGCCCAAGAGTGCATTGAAGGTCGCAAAAGAGAGAAAAAATATACACTCATGCAAGAACATGGAGAGGATCTTGATAGGCAGTGTCCAGCCTCCATGGGCATTTCCATGGTCCCCCACCTGTCTGTCTCTACCTATAATCTAGTCCAGAGTTTATATGAACTTTATAAATTGTACAATGTGACACAAATGTAATCTACCAATATTGTGTCAATGACTCTGGTTTGGTTATTTTTATGAATAACAGTCCAATTAGCATTTGTATAGAATTTTTAAAATAACACTTATTATACTTTTGATTGCTAAAATCTAAATATTCACTGTGGAAATTTTGGAAAATACAGAAAGGTATAAAGAAGATAAAAATAATCCTTAGGACTAGGTATGGTGGCACACGCCTGTGATCTCAGCACTCGGGAAGCTGAGGGAGAAGGATCATTGTGAGTTCAAGGTCAGTTTGGGATACATAGTGAGACCCTATCTCAGAAAAAAAACAAAGAATAATAATAATAACAATAATCCCTACTTTTAAAGCAGCTTACATTAATGATTTTGGTGTGTTTTGCCTATTTTCTTTTCTATGTGTATATAATCTTTTCTGAAACTATAAAACAAATATTGTGATTAGACGTATATGCCTCTTTGTAGCTTTCTTATTTAATAGTCTAAAAACATTCTATTATGGCAAGGAACATTATTCTATGTCATTTTAATGGCTACATAGAATTCCCCCTCAATCATCATATCAACCCCCTACTATAAAGATTTTGCCTGTTTCTCATTGTTTCTTCTTAGAAATAGAGCTATCTCTGATTATTAGGATAGCTTGTTAAAAGTGAAATTGCTTACTCAATAGTTGGTGCAAAAAAATTACCATTTCAACCATTTGTAAGTGTACCGCACAATACTATTAACGTTACTGTGCAACAGTCTTTAGAACTTTTTTATCTTGCAAAATAAACTCTATACCTATTGAACAATAACTGCTCCCACTTCATGCCTCTGGCAGCAACCATTCTACTTCGTTCCTCAAAGTTTAGAAATATCACTTAAACAGAATCATCCAGTGATTATCTTTGTGTGTGGTAGTGTTTCTTTTTAAGGCTTTTGGAATCCAGTGCTAAGCTAGCCGGCGACGAGGATGTGCCAACTTAGACCGGAAGTGTACGTGTGTCCACCTGGACTACCCACTCACTGTCATCAGTTTCAATTCTTGACTGTGATAGAGGAACAAAGGTTGTGGCCCGAACTTTTGGGTGTGCCATTGTCCTGGGAATCTTGGCTAAAATATTTGCTCTGATCTTACTAGCTGTAAGGCCTTGGATAAGTCCATTAACTTTTCAGTGCCTCTATTCCTTTATCTGTGAAATGGAAGTAAGAATAGCTCGTTACTATTCATGCATACATTATACATACTTCTTATGTGGAATAAATGAGTTAATAAAGCACCATGAATAGTGAGTGCCTGGAATATAGGAACTCCAAAAGAGAAATAGCTATTATTATTTTGTCAATATTTGGTAATCTAATAAATGGAAAATGAGTGATACCCAGCTATTCCAGTTTGCATCTCCTCAATGATCCATGGGTTACCTTTCTGTGTTTATACTGGGTGTACTCTGTCAAAATCTCCTTTTTCCCTTCTCTTCAAACCCCTGTGGAGAATAGTTTCGATGGATCCTCCTAACAAGCTCCCGAAATAAATTGCAATCTTCAGTTTTCAAATTAAGAAACTGACGCTCACAACTCTACTGCGGCGAAATTCCAAGCCTAGTATTCTGATGACGTACTTCAAAACCTAACAGCTGTCCTCAAAACAACCCGGGAAGTGGGGGGGAGTTCGTTGTAACCCCGCCACGCTCGGCCCCGCCCCTCCAGGCCCCGCCCGGCCCCCCGACCCCGCCCCTAGAGGCCGGCCGCCGAGCTCTCTGCGCAGGCGCAGCGGTTCCTGTGGGCGGGGAGAACTCGTCACGACCCCGCCCTCCCCTCCGCAGCCCGCCCAGTCCGAGAGCGACGGGCTCGGTGCTCCGGGGCCCACGGAAGGGGAGAGCCCAGGTGTCCCCCGCGTGCCGCTTGATCTGCCACTCGGCGAAGACCCCAAGTCCGAGGCCCGGTAGGGACGCGCTGCCATTTTGCCGCGAAGAGGGCAGGGGAGTCAGGGGTCCGCGCGGCTGGGCTCAGGGCGGACCGAGGCGGGCCGGGGGGCGGGCCCGGGAGGGCTGTGCGCGCCCCGCTGCGGGGTTTGGCTGGCCTCGCCCTCCGCCTGTTTAACCCCAGCCGCCCCACCCCGACCACTGCCTCGGCCGCTGACTGACTGCTCTCACTGGGTCCTCGGCAGCTGACTCTCGCGGCGAGTCGCGCTGGGAGGCCGAGGAAAGGACTGTGGTCCCATTCTGCAGACAGAAGTTAAGGTGTAGAGTGGGGAGGAGCTTTGCATCCCAGCTCCCAGCGAGATCCTGGCCGTGGAGTTCAGGTCTCCCGCTACCGGGCCACTGTGCCTCTGCCTCAGATGTCAAAGGAAGGGGTTGGACGAAAGCATTAGTAAGGAGAATTACAGCTCCTTTGTTCTCTCTCTTTCCTTTCTTCCCCCGCCCCCTCTTTTTTAAAGATGTGCCTCTTTCTATACCATCCAGGTCAGAGCTAAGTACACATTTAGAAGCCAAGTCATGGATCCACCTTCACGTAAAGAAAAATCCAAAGTTAAAGAACCTGTCAGCAGGGTGGAGAAGGCTAAGCAGAAATCAGCCCAGCAAGAGCTGAAACAAAGACAGAGAGCAGAGGTGAGAGTGTGTGTGTGTTTTCGTGTGTGCGCCCGTGTGTAGTGGTGGGGGTTTGCCTGTCGTCTGCTGAAGAAGATTCTGGAATAGAGAAGCAGAAGAAAAAGAGGGCTGTGATGGGGAGCCCTGCCTGCCTCCAGGCAAGACAGAGGTTCTCTTTAGTTTTACAGGGATCATCAAGGTCCAGAATGGTGACAGGGATCTCAGAGTCACATGACAAGTTGGCATCAGAACCCCAACCAGAGGTCTCCAGAGGACCCTGGGCACAGAGCTTTTATGGTAGGGACCTGAGCTGTGTAAGGGAGGGGTCAGAAGAGGGAGGGAGCCTGGGTCACATATGCTGAATTGGTGCAAAAACTAATGGCCCTGGGGTGGGAGATTTAGCTCATTGGCGGCACACCTGCCTAGCAAGCCCAGGGTCCTGAGTTTGATCCCCAGTACCAGAAGAAAAACTAATGGCCAAGCCTTAAACCCACCTATGTGTTTCTTTGTTCTCTCACCACACAACAATTATTGTGAGAATAAAAAGCTTTAAACTGTTCACATTGCAAATGTTGATCCACATCAAGGTGTATTTTATTTTAATATATAAGAAAAAGCTCGCTGATATTTTATTCCCTCTTTATTTTTGAAAAATTTAGAAGTGCAGAAAATTAGACTATTATAACAAATACTTGGTAATCAGCATCCCAGATTGGGAGTAGTTAGCATTTTGTTGTACTTGAAGTCTTTTGTTTTGTTTTGTTTTTGTTTTTTAAGACAGGGTCTCAATATGTAGTTCAGGTTGGCCTTGAACTTGCAATGATCCTCCTGACTCAGCCTCCAGAGTACTGGGATTACAGATATGCGCGACCATGCTAGGATTGGAGTCTTTTTAAAATAAGACAAAAATCAGCTATAAATTTGAAGTCCCCTTTGTCTGCTTCCGGTCTTAAAGCTTTTCCCTCTCCCCATGGGTAAGCAGTATTTTTCATACAAATATATTAGTAGATATCCTTGAACAATATACAGTATTCCTTTTGAGTTTTAAATCTTTACATTAATAAAATCCCATACTTGGGGCCAGGGATTTAGCTCAGTGGTTCCACTGCCTGCCTCAAAAGCGCAAGGTCCCAAGTTCAATCCCTGGCACCCAAAAAAATCCCATGCTTTTTTTTTTCAGTACCAGGGATTGAACTCAGGACCTTGCTCTTGGCAGGCAGGCACAGCGCCACTGAGCTACATCCCTGACCCTCAGATCCCATACATCTTTGCATTTTGTTTATATATTTTTTAGAGCTATTCATGTTAATTCAAGTATCTAGTTTATTTGCATCAGTCTTCACAGTAGTCTTATTTGTGTATTTCTCCATTCTTCCAGTGATGGACATTTTTGGTATTTTTGGTTTTACAAACATTGATGTAGTGAAAAACTTTTAGATGTTTCCTTTGGCTAGAATTTCTTTAGGGCTTTAACTAGAAGAATTCCTGGGTACACTTTTCCACATTGCTTTCAAAAGGATTGTACAAGCTTGCATCCCACCGGCAGTAGAAGAGACATCTTACTCCTCATTTCTGGTCTATTACTTGATCTGATCCATTCATTAACAAATGTTGAGCTGGTGCTACATGCCAGGCACTGTTTCAGGAACATGAGACCCATTACCAGACAAAGCAGAGAAACCCTGCCTTCACGGAGCTTAAACCCAATAAATTTAGCATCTTTGAAGTTAAGCTGTAAACTCAAATCCACCTTTAGGTTAAGGCAGACCATCTGAAAGCTGTGGTCCTGGCTCTAACAAATGGTTCTGCCCTTTCCTTTGCCTGGTTCCTGGATGATTTTATTGCACTGTGCTTTGGTGAACAGTTTGACAATTGCTGTAAGAAACAGCCCTCTAAAACAGCCTGATAGATGTTGTGGACATTGTTCATGTACCTACTGATACCCTTCCTGTGAGGTTTCACAAGTTAAAATTATTTGTCTAATTTCAAATCCCAGTTCTTTTCATGTGACCTTGAGCAAGACACTTCACCTCTGAACCTGTTCCTCCTTGGTGAAATGAGGATGTATCTACCTCACAAGTTAAAATGTTAACTTGTTAACTGTTCACATGTTAAAATGAATAGAAGTGTTATCTGTGAAGCATTAGCACAGTGCCTGGCACAGAGAAGGGACTCCATAACCAGTGATTATGGTCAGGAATCATCGTACTTACTTTCATCATGAGGACTGTAAATCAGACAACTGAGCATGTTCATGTTCATTTGCTGAGATGTGGTGCTAGGGATTCAGTCTAGTAGCTGGCATTTTTTTGAGCTCTTTTTACAGTGTGCCAGGCCCATCACATCAGCTTTGCAGGAGTTTTTAGTATTTTCAAAGAGGGCTGGGCCTGTAGCCCAGAGGTAGAGCACATGTCTAGTGCGCATGAGGCTCTGGGTTTGATTACCCCTGCTCCCCACACTGCAGAGCAAAAAAAAAAAAAAAATTCAAAGAACCATTTTGCAATTTTGTTGATCCTCTCTGCTGTAATTCCGATTGCTACTTTATTACCTTCCACTCATATTTTGTATTTTCCATTTGTCTCACTTCTGCTTCATTTTTTCTCATGTCCTTTTTTTAATCAAGTTATATTTTCTGTACAAACACATACCTTTTTTAATTTCTTCTACAAATTGTAAAGTTTTATGATCTATTCCTCTTTTTTTTTTTTTCCGGTACCGGGGATCAAACTCAGGACCTTGTGGTTACGAGGCAGGCGTGGTGCCACTGAGCTAAATCCCAGGCCCCATATTCCTCTTCTTATTGGATAGTTTAATTACTGTGAGGACGAAGGAAGATGAGGAAGAAGGTGTAGATACCACAGCCTTTCATCTTGGAATGTCTCTTGGTGTTTTCTGTCCTCCACTGTGGCCTGGCCTAGGCCATAGTCTTTGCCTCCTTCATGGTTGATAATCCCTCCACAAATGCACACACATACTCCCACCTCCACATGGCCTCGTTATCTTTTCTAAGGCACAGATAGAATCAGATTGCTCCCCTGTACACTTATCTTTGCTGGTTCTCCAGAGTCAGATAAAGACCCCAGTTCCTTGGCATGGCATGGAGGTCCCAGTGTACTTGTCTTGCTTTCTCTAGCTTCCCGCCCCACTCTATCCTCCATATTGGCATGCTTTAAGTTTCCTGAACTGCTGCTGTACTTCCCCATTGTATTTGTTTACGCATAACCTCCCCCCCATTGCCTATCAGGTCCCATCCTCAATTTCTACCTGTTTGAATTCTAGTAACCCCTAAAAACCAACATGCCTGCCTCACTATTTCTTTATTGATTGCACAGATGGAATGAATATATACCTCCCTGTTCCCAAATCACTCTCCCTATACCACCATCACTGGTGCAGTTCCGGCATTTCCAGAAGACTTAACCTATTGTATCTGAAGACCTGTTGAGCAGCTGCTTTCATTCCTAACTTGTCTATCTCTCTATTCAGATCTATGCCCTCAACAGAGTCATGACAGAACTGGAGCAGCAGCAGTTTGATGAGTTCTGTAAACAGATGCAGCCTCCTGGAGAGTGATCCAGCCCTGTGTTCAACCCCCTGGGACTGTGGAGGCCTTTTTCACGAGCTTGTTACCAGTGTTAAGCTCAGATGGCCTATTTGGAGCCTTGCCGAACTAGATGAGACATTTGTGGATAAACCTGAACCTTCCGCTTCATGGTCTTCCACTCTGACTTGGCCCAGTGCTCACTGAAGAGACTTCTTTTCTTCTACTAAGATAATAGACCTTTTTTTTTTTTTTTTAACTTTTCTATTATTTGAGGAAAATCAGTGTTTCTTGTGAAACTGTGTATCTTCAAAAATGCAAATAAAATATTAATAAAATGCTCATTTTCTCATCCTTTAGCATGGGAGTCACAAGCCATAGAAAGTGAAGTAAAGAATGTAGGAAGTAGGAAACGCTGGGTGGATATCTAGAACTAAACTCTTGACCACTTTCCAGTAAGCATGCTTTTGCCTCACTGGCCCCTTTTTCAATTTGTAACAACTCAGTATTTCTACTTGTTTGGGCCAAAACCTTTAAGTCATTCTTTTTTTTGTATCAGAAATTGAACTCGGGACCTTGTGCTTGCGAGGCAGGCGGCGGAACCACTGAGCTAAATCCCCAGTCTTTAAGTCATTCTTGACTCATTCTCTCTCATGTACATCATTTTGTCTGTCTGCAAATCTTACTAATTTTAATATATATAATTTCATATATATATATATTCATTCCATACACCACCACTGCCACTGGCACTTCTTCTACCACTGGACCAAGATACTATACTCTCTCCCCCTATCTGAGTCACTCCCCTTTACTGGTTTCCTGGCTCCCACTCTTGTCCCCCATAGTCTGTTCTGAGCACAGCACCAGAGTAACCCTGTTTAAATGTCAGGTGCCTCCTCTGCTGGAAACCTATATTGACTCCCTGAGAGTAAGAGTGACATTGGTTCCTCTAAGGCCCTGCACAAGGGGAGCCTCTCTTCTCCCCTCTGATGATCTCTGCGCTCCTTTCCTGCACTCTGCTCTAGCCGCGCTAAGGCTTCCCTTGGTCTTTCTCAAAAAGTGCCCTCCCTCCTCAGGGCCTTTGAGCAAGTCGGTCCTTCTGCCTGGTCTGCTCACTACATACAGCTGCAGAGTCTTCCTTGCCTTCACCTTTTTACTAGTTTTTATTTTTATTGGTACATCTGCAGTTCACAATGATTGCATTCACCATGGGGACACGTACATCACACATCTTAATTCTTTTTATGTCCTTCATCTTTGATCAATGTCGGCTTCTCAGTAAAGGGACCACACTATTTATAGGTGTAACCTACCCCAAGCCTCATCACTGCAGTCCATATCCCCTTCGTTGTGTTTTTTATCCTAATCACTATTAACCTCTAAAATACTATATTTACTCATTTGTTTGATTTCTTGTTTGTCTCTACCCCTAGCATGTAAACGCCATGAGAAAGCCAAGATTTATACCATTTTGTACCAATAATGATGCTACATAGTTGGCACTTAGTAAATATGTTAGATACTTGAAACGAGGAGCAGCAGCCACCCTTCCTCCTTGAGTGAGGTAGAGAAGAGGATTATGATGCTTCTAGTGTCCATTCTTCCTGGGCTGATGCTCTGTAGACCCTGCTGATGATAAGCTTTCCATCACACAGATACTGCATGTGACCCTTCACTGCATTTGAGGTGCTAACTAGAGTAGAGGCTGGAAGGATTCTAGGATTCTCCTCTCCTGCCATCAAGAAGCACTGGCAACAGGCTTGCACCAAGTGCAAGTGCTCTTTGTTTTTCATTTCAGGGGGCTACTCTGTCACACCCAGAGAGGGGTTTGTGATGGGAATAGTCAGACTGGTCCCTCAGGAACCAAACAGCCATCCATCCAGCTGCCATTTGTAGGGTTACAGATGGAAAGTTTTTTTCTGCCTCAGACATTTGTGTCAAAAGTGACAATTTTTACTGCCATGTTAGCAGCATAAGTTATTTTAATGCTGAGCCAAAGGAAAGATTTCTTTTAGGACATTTTCTTTTCTTGTTTTTTGGTACTGGGGATCAAACTCGGGACCTTGCGCTTGCGAGGCAGGCAGTGGAACCACTGAGCTAAATCCCTGGCCCCAGGACATTTTCTTTGGGAATGAGGAAAATAGATTTCAGAAAAGATGCATGAAGATGGAAATGAGGCAGAACACTCAGAAAAAAACAAAAAGTCAAATATTCCCACCTCTTACTCCAAGTTGCTTGTATTTCTCCCCACACTCCTGGGACATCTCAAGCTGTTCCCGTCTGCCTCTGAAGTTACTGAGAATACTGTTCCCACTCCTGTAGCTTATTTTTGGAGTAAACTGGACAGTTAATGGGGTGTTATTAGTAACTTGCTACCACTGTGAAGAGATGTTTTTGAAGGCCCAAGTTATAATTAAGGATTATCTCTACATAGATTATCCCTATAAATGGTAATTAGGTTCTATAGTGTTCTGCTAAATTTGGGTTAAATTTCCTTTTTTATTTTGTTTTGTTGGAGAAGTAGGGGATTAGAGGAAGCTATCTCTGTAAACATAAGGAAGGAAATACTGTTAACGTTCTAGAAAGAGAGCCGGGATTTAGCTCAGCGGTGCTGCCACCTGCCTAGCAAGTGCAAGGTTCTGAATTTGATCCCAGTACCCAAAAAAAATTCTAGAAAGAGCTCAGCTTTAGAGCTAAATGACCTGGGTTAAGTAACTATTAACTTCTCCGACTCTCACTTTTCCCATCTTTGTAATGGAATATTGTTTCCTTCCTCTTAGGATCATTGTTGAGAAATGAATAAAGTAATGAAGTATGTAATAGTGTTATTTCCCTTCCCAACAAGTTTTCAGATCACTTCATGGGAAATGCTTCAAGTTTCAAATAACCAAGTAGTACGTGAGCACCCTGACCCTTTGCCAGGAACTGCTTATATTAGCATGTCTCAGACTCATGTATATTGTTGTCCTGAAGAAGGACAGTAGGGCAGTTTTTCAAACTGTAGGTGGTTAAAAAATCAGTTTAATAAATGTTAACTTTCTAATGAAATAATAGAAAATACCACATGTGGAGGCTGAGAGTGTAGCTCAGTGGTAGTGTATGTGCTTAGCACCTACCACCAAAAAAGATTTAAAAATCACATATAGTAAAGAAATTGTTTCATGCAATTTTTGCTTCAGGTTTATGTAAAGACATAAAATGTGTACTATGTTGGATATAAAATTACTTCTTACTGTAGGTTATGGCTTTAAAATATCAAGTTTACGCCGCCTGCTACACAAACGCAAGGACCCGAGTTCAATCCCTGGTACCTCAATAAATAAATAAATAAAATAACAAGTTTGAAGCTGGGCATGTTGGCACAAGCCTGTAATCTTAGCACTCTGGGAGGCTGAGTCATGAGGATCCCAAGTTCCAGCCCAGCCTGGTCAACTTAGTGACTTGGTGAGCTTCTGTTTCAGAATTTTAAAAGGGGTTGGGGGGAGGGGTGACAGCAGACTGGGGATGCAGGTGAGTATAACAGCCCTGGGTTCAATCCTCAGAACTGCAGGAGAAAAACAAAACTTGTGATATTAAATTCCTGAACCAAGACAGGAATGACTCATTAGTTTATTCACATTTTAAAGAAAAGAAGATTCATTTGCCTCTAAGGAATACCAAGGTAAGGGCTTCAGAAGCCTTTGTGTCCATAGTTGGAACAGACTTACAGGCATAGCCAGTGAAAACGCGGAACACATTTGCCTACATGCCAGGATTTTCCTACTGCTCATGTGGTCTAGCCCATTTGTCCAAGGTAAGAGAAGATATTTTTTAAGCCATACACCAAAAACAATTCAGAGCACTGACTTTGAAAGTCAGGCTGCCCGGGTTTGACTCTGGTTCATCACTTACTCATTGTGTGAGCAAGTTGTAATCTCCCGAGTAATTCTCCTATTTTTTGGTCTCAGAACTTTTTACACATCAAAAATTGTGGATTCCAAAGAGCTTTTGTTTATGTTGGTTGTATCATATTTGCCATTGTAGAAGTTAAAACAAAAATTTCAAAATCTTTATTAATCCATTTAAAACAATACAAATCTAATACAGGTTAACATCAAAAGTAAGGAGAGTGGCATTACTTTATACTTTTGCAAATCTAATATCCTGTCAAATTAAATTAAATTTTGCAAATTTAATATCCTGTTTAATTCTGGAGATTGAAACAATTATATTCTCCTGCTTCTATGTTATGAATCTTCATATTATTTTGGTTGAAAGATGTGAAGAAAAAAAATCAAGCTTCACTTTGATATATAGTTAGAAAAGACAGGGGTATTCTAATAGACTTTTGAGGTCATTGTAGATTTTCTTTCATACTACAACCAAACTCAGCAAGTGGTAGTTTCTGAAACATTAGTTGCAACATGAACTCTGATACCATTATCAGTGAACATTTTGTATCCTGATAACATTAAAATCCTTTGGTCTTTGAATCTTGGCCTTTGAATGTATCTTTCATTCATGCATGATTTTGTACCATCAAGCATTGATCATTTAGAAAATACTGGGGCCAAGGATTTAGCTCAGTGGTTTTGCTGCCTGCTGCGCAAGCGCAAGGACCCAAGTTTGATCCCTGGTACGGAAAAAAAAAAAGAAAAGAAAAGAAAATACTGGATCACTGAGTTATGCAGCTCTTCTAAATGTTGACACTGAGTTATGCAGATCTTCTAAATGTTGACACTTTGCATTACACATCAAAAATACATATTCCTGGGCCAGGTATTTAGCTCAGTGGCACCCTCCTGCCTCGCAGGTACAAGGTCCTGAGTTTGATCCCCAGTACCCAAAAACCCAAAGCACACACACACACACACACACACACAAATACATATTCCTTGCTGGGCATGGTGGCACACGCCTGTAATCCCAGCATTTTGGAGGCTGATGCAGGAGTATCACTGTGAGTTCGAGGCCAGCCTGGGTCACATAGTGAGTTCAAAATCAGCCTGAATTATATAGTGAGACCCTGCCTCAAAAACAACAACAAAATACATATTTCTTAATATCCCTCTGATCTCAGAAAAGTCTTTGGGAAGGAGTAAAGCTCACGGTAGTAGACAGAAGCTTTCCAAAACTCCAATTTTCTTTTCTTTTTTTCTTTTTTTGGTACTGGGGATCGAACTCGGGACCTTGTGCTTGCGAGGCAGGCGCTGGAACCACTGAGCTAAATCCCCAGCCCCAAAACTCCAATTTTCACATGGAAGCTCAAATTTATCTGTGGCAACAAATACTTTTTGTTGAAATGAGAGTCTCACTCTCTTCACATGTCAAGCAAACCTAGTCTGAACCATCCTCTATTGTCAGTTGTCCTGTAACATTTCATAAGGAAAGAGCTATTTCAGTTAAAACTCAAACCAGGGTTTTTCCTAGAAATGACATCATAACTAGAGTATGCAGCAGAAGTACTCAAGTGTACTCCACTTCATGCACAGAAAATACTAAAAAGATATGAAAGATTTAGTAAAATTAGTAATTTTTCCTGCTCCTCCAAGGATATCCTTAAGTGAAACTGCTTTTTGTTTGATGTTTTTTGCAGTGCTGATGATTGAATGCACAGCCTTATATATGCTAGGCAAATGCTGTAGATCACCAGCATTTTTTTTTTTAACAGGTTCTCACTATGTTGCCTGGGCTGGCCTGGGACTTCCTAACCTCTTGTTTGACCCTCCAAGCCTCCCAAGTAGTTGGGATTGCAAGTGTGCACTGCTGTTTTGTTTACTGGGAGCTTGTGGCAGTGAAAAGGACCCTGGCTGCCATCTAGAGCCACACCAAGGAGTCATCAACTTTACCCATGGATCCTTTGTTCCATTGGCAAAATGTCAACAAGTGATATTATAGTCCCTGTTTTAGGTATCGAGAAAAGATTTTTGATCCCTAAAAGGTCTCAGGAATCATAGGAGTCTGCAGAACATACTTTGAGAATTGCTGACCTTAATAAGGCTGTGGTCACCTAACACATGGATTAAGTGAAATAGCAAAATGCAAGGTTCCTGGCATATAGCAAGCTACATAGTATAATATAGTAAATGTTTATACATTTACTGTACATGGTATTAAGTGTTATTATCATTATTTTAAAATTGAAATATACATGGAAAGAGAAAGGTGGAGGAGTAGAAAAAGGACAAGGAACATTTACTTAACATTTTTTATGTGGCATTCACTAGGTGTATTATGTGTCATTGTATTTGGTTTGCAAAACAACTGAGTGGAAATAAATCTTCCATTTTACAGATAAGGAAATGGGCTTAGAGAGAAAAATTTTATTCAAAGTCACAGAGCTACAAAAGTAGCAGAGTTCTCAGTCACTTGAGTTGGCTCACCAGATGCTTCAGGTTGGAAAGATTCCACCCTGGGGAACTCTACACTGTATCCTGGGTTTAAGACTAGCAGAGCTGCCTGGACCCCTCTGGCATCATTTATTCAGCTCAGAAGTTCAGTGTTAAAGTCTTGGCCTTCTCACTTATTCCTAAGAGGAAGCCCAAGAAGAACCATTCTGTATTTAAAAGTCGCTGTCTAGGAAACAGAAGCTCTGATGTGGTGGGTTAGCATCGAGGCCCCAGCCAGCTGAGGAGTGTAGCCAGCTCCCAGCTGACCTAGAGCTGTCCTCATGTCACTAACCTCCAAAGAAGTCAAAGTAATGAAGTATAAAGTAACTGTTCCAAACAAACCACAATGTACAGATCCAAATGAGTATTTTGCTTTTCAAAGCAGTCCTCTTGGGGACTTGTATATTTTCTTTAATTCTGCTGTTATCTCTTAAGATGGACATGGAAATTCTCTCTCATAATCACATTTTTTTTTGAACATAGGAACAGTCAAAAGTTATTTGAAGTCAGACCTGATAGATAGTATGATTCAAGAATAGGAATCATTGATTAATCCCAAATATTATCTTTTTCAGTTATATCTTCAAAATTAAGATATTTGAACTAAGTCTCCTAAATTTGGTTGGCTGAGAAGAACATAAATTTGCTTTGGTTTGGGTTTTTTAGCACCTATACTATCTGCGTATTGTGGTAGCTGCTGACTCCTAGAGTTTATGGGAAGATAGTTCTCAAAATGGAGGTGCTAAGATATATTGACTAAGTGTATGTATTAGCCAGCTTTCCACTGCTGGAACAAAGTTCCTGATATATGCAATTTAGTGGGAGAAATGTTCATTTTGGCTCACAGTTTCAGAGGTTTCAGTTCACAGTCAGTTGGTTCCAAGGCAAAAATGTCATGGCAAAAGGGTGTAGTGGAGGAAAGCTACTCTGCTTTCCATGGCAGCCAGGAAAGAGGGAGCAGGTGAAGATCTGAGAGTGAGGAAGGAAAGGGTCAGGAACCAGATATGGTCCCCAAGGTCATACCTCCATGACACACCCAGAAGCGTGCTTTGCTAATCTCTCAGCCATCTCTCCAATCACATGACACAATTAACCATCACAGTGATGCTTCACAATGACATGAACATACTGTATCAAGGGGCATCACATAGATATGTCCAAGCCTAGGTGTATCTGTATACTTCTTACTCTAGTACAGTAACATATATATATATATAAAACTTACCAGAATCCATAACTAAATCAATCTACAAAGTAAATGTTTTTGAGTGCCAGGCACCATGCCAGAAATACATATACATAAAGTGGAGGAGACTGAACTCTAGTGGGGCACAGGCATATTCACCTAACCATGATAACAGAAATGATGTACTACCATATATCCTTGTGCCCCATCCCAGGTTTTCAGTGAGGCTCCTACTGAACAGTACCCTCTTACCATAATGTGATGCCAGGGCTCACTTCTACAGTTTTTCTGAACTGGCTAAAGAACCACAGAGGCAAGCAGAAAGCAGTTTGAATTATGCATGAAAGTAGGATCATGTAATAGCTGCTAGATAATATTTCCTCAGATAACTAGGCTAATTGATGAAGAGGCAGATGCCAAGAAGTGCTCAATTGGCGAGACAACTGTGGCCAAAGGATGAATGTGGAATCAACTGAATATAGAATAGACCAAGAAAAGAGAGAACAGCAGGGAAAAAGTATAATTTCTCCAAGCATGAATCTTTTTGATATGGTTAATCATATTTTAACTGTTATTGTAATTCATGTAACTGTGACTGGAACGATAGGTAAATATTCAAACTTTTAAAAATTTTCTTTCATATTTAAAGATATAAAAATTTTGGCATATTAAAATGTAAAAGCTGACTCCATGTGCTTTTGAAACAATTGGAATGGAACAAAAAAGCAATAAGAAGTCAAAGATGTTGGTTTATAGAGAACAAAGCTCAGCTAGTTTTGAAATGCTTGAATTTTTATGTAAAAGTTGAATGTTGTAGTATTTGTTTATTTCTTTTGTGAATAATACAACTATGTATGTCTTACAATAACTATCTTTCAAATATTTGAACTGTGATAGAAACTGGTGTTCAAGTTGGTGGACTGCTCCAAGCATGTCTTTGTGTAAGCAGTTAATAAGTGCAAATTTAGGTTAAAAAAAAAAAAGGAAAAGAAATGATGTATCAGAGACCAGAAAAGAGAGAGAAGTGGGGAAGAGGACATTGTGTGCTCCTTTAGAGCCAAATCATAGTGATGTGGGCTTCTTTGGATTGGTATTTTTATAAATCTAGATTTGATGTCTATTTTACCACATAGTTGTGAAAACTTGAGAGAGTCAGAACTTCAGACAGTTGGACGTGTGGTAAAGGTGGTCTGGTGACACCTTTGCGAAGGAGCAGGTTAGTCACTGCTCCTCCTGGCAACCCACCTGGAGGCAAGAGCTTCACTGGTGATTCTGGGGACTCATTGTTTTCAATGGACCCAGTCTCTCTGGGAGATACGGCTTTGCCATACAATATTGTTAATTTCTATTTGATTTGGATTTTAAGAGATGAAGTGGCATTCGACAGAGTTTAGTGTTTGAGAGATTAAACCAGATGATGCTCTTGTGCTACCATGCATCTTATCTCATTTTGGGTTTTTTTTGGTACCGGGGATCAAACTCAGGACCTTGTGCTTGCAAGGCAGGCGCAGTGCCACTGAGCTAAATCCCCAGCCTACCATACATCTAATCTCTAAATGAAGCCAAACGCTGAAGCTTTGAACTATTAAATACAGAAGTTTTAAGTTACAAAGGCTTAGACACATTCAGAGTGAGCAGTGTGAATGTTCTCTGTTGAGCTCTGCTCTCTGAGCCAGACCCTGTAGGTGAGCCCACCCTGCCACTGGCATAACTGCCATCCAGCCAGGCCGAACTGGCAGCTACACCAACTCTGAAGAATGTCACTTCTTTCCCAGGGCTGAAGCCTAGTGCACAGTGACAGAGCCAGAACCCAAACACAGCCGAAACTTAGCTTGGAAAAAAAGCTGTTCTACATGACATGTACAAGTATTGCCTCAAGGGAGTCAGAACCCTGAATAAAGAGAAAAGAGCAAAGGCTGCTCGCCTGACTGTGTGGCTCACTGTGGCTCAAGACAACAGAGATCGTAGGTATCTGGCATCTGACAACTCAGGCACAAGGAGAGCTTTAGTGATATGAAGCAAGGCTCGGCCCCACATGCTGGCACAGAGCCCACTGGGCTTGGTAGAGCTGTGGTTTCCTTCATGCTAGAGCTTCAGGCAGTCTGCCCTGCCCCACAGCGCATGCGGGAAGAAGATATAGGACAGCGACCACATCAGGCAGTAAAAAGCAGTGAGGGAAAATGGGGAGAAAAACAGCATGGTGACACCTGGAAGAAGCAGAAATACAGGCACTCAGTTTTTATGAAGCTGTCTCAGGGCTTCTACCCCTTTCTTAAGGCATTCAGTACCCAAGAAACAGCAGCAGAAAAGAGACAGGAGCCCTGTCTCTAACTTCAGCTTAATATATTTATATATGTGTAAGTAACTAGCCACTTAGAACCTAGTGTAATCTCAGGGTTCATTTTGTCAGTTTCACATCCAAGAATACATTTGAGTGGCCCCCCAAAATCCTTCAATTAATAAAGGATGGACAGAAGGAAACAGAGGGATGGGTCTCTTCCAAATGGGAAGGGTCCAAAAGACTAAGGGCGAGGGGTGAGGGGGAACAGAAGGGGAAATAAGTAGAATAAGGATATTCCATGTACGGAAACCTAATAAATGTAAACATTATATGTCATAAACATGAGCTAAGATTAATAATATAACAAGAATAAAAATAGGGAAAGGGGAATTAGAGGAGGGGGAAGGGAAGGGGATTTTAAAAAGAAGCAAGTTGTATTATGTACATGGAAGCACTCCCCAAGGTGACTACAAACTGAATGTACTGCAAACATGTACTAATAAAAAATAATAAAATTTTTAAATCCTCCAGATTATTATCCCAAATTTAACCTGGGATAATGACCAACACAATATTATGGGCATGCAGAAAACAGTTAACACAGCAGGCCTGAGCTGCTATCCATAGACAGGCCCACTTACAAGGTTGACCATTGGCTGACCAATCCCACACTAATACAAAGCATCCCCTAACTCATCAGAGCAGTTCACTGCATCCACACGTTCATGCTAAACACATGCTCTACTGCAGGGAGTCAGGAATTTGATATATGCTATTATGCAGAGGGGGGCCATGTGACTGGTTCCCAATCAAAGCCTTGGGCAGTAGTCTCTGATGAGCTTCCCCAGTAGGACAACACTTCATACTGTGGGTGTCCAACCTTCTGGCTTGCCTGGACCACACTGAGTGAAAAGGAATTATCTTGGGCCACATATAAAGTATATAATAGAGTTAATGTATATAAGTAACAAAGCCTCCTTTTTAATATTTTTTACACTATCATGCACAAAAAAAATCTGATACGGTTTTACTTCCTATATGACTGCTTAAAAAACTATTAACTTATTAAATTATTCTACAAAACAACACAAAAAGATCAAGTTTAATAATTAGAGAAGAAAACTTACACGTCTGCTTAATAAGAATAAACACCTGTCTTCACAGGCACACACATGGTAATTGAAATATTGTTATCAAAAGTCACTGTTTTCTTGGTTTTTTGTGGGGTTTTTTTGGTACCGGGGATGAAACTTGGGACCTTCCGCTTGCGAGGCAGGTGCCGGAACCACTGAGCTAAATCCCCGGCCCTTTTTTGTGTGTTTGTTTGTTTGTTTTAGAAGTTGCTGTTTTCCTCACTAAGTTGCACAAATGCACACGATGTCTGATACCCACAGGTTTCTATTGGACTGATTGTGTGTGAGTTAGGACCACTAAGGCTTCCCCTACCCAGTGTTCATTGTCACCTACCAGTCCACACTCAAGTACTATGCAATACAGTCATGAAAAATATTGCTAAAAATCACACAATAGCGTTAAAAGTTTATGATCTTGGTGGGGACATATTACTGCATGCAGCCCACAGCCTGAGGGTTGGACACCTGCTTTACATTATTATCACAAGTCAGTGCTGGAGGAATTACGTGCGACTGCATGACTCCACCAGGAGAGGACTACTGAAAGCTTGCACCTGGTTTGCTCTAAGCTTCATCCCATGCACCCTTTCCTGTGGCTGTTTTTGCTTTGTATCCTTTTGCTCTATACAATCTTAGCCACCAGTAGGACAATATGCAGAGTCTGGTGGTTCTTCTAGCAAATCACCGAACCTGGAGGCAGTCTTGAGAACACCCAGCCCAATGTGAATCTTAGATTCACCACCAAAAAGTAAAAAGGCTCCCATATTAGTGGCAAATCTAGTCAGCACTAGACATTCTGCTAGGCATTGTTACATAATTTATTTCATTTATACTCTATAATAATCCTAGGATTTAGAATTGAATGTGTTTTTCAGATGAAAAAATGGGAAGTAACTTACACAAGGTCCTGATTCAAACCATGCCTGCCCTGCACTTAAGAACTAGACACCTGCACTGCCTCAGAAAGCCCCCCCAAAATCCAGGTGTGGTGGCACATCCCTGTAATCCCAGCACCTGGGGGACTGAGGCAGGAGGATCTCAAGCTTGAGTCCTGCCTGGTCAACCTAATGAGGCCCTGTCCCTAAATGAAAAATAAAAAAGCCTGGGGGTGCAGTTCAGTGAGAAGGCCCTAGGTTCATTCCCCAGTACTGCGGCAGCAAGTGTGAGGGTGGGTCAAAAAGAGGTAGAAGATCATCTGGGCAACAGCATTTCCATGGGAATAACCACTATGTATTTGTAAAAGAAGTCAGAACACTGGATCTGACAGAAGACACTTCTAGAGGTAAAAAGCAGTTAAGGAAATGTGCCTGAAATTTGGAAAAGTGCATTTCAAGAACAATCATTGATCTGTTGAGGCAAAGAAACAATATTGAAAGCCAGAGTTGTCCTAGAAAATATATAAGATCTACAAAGCTGGCTGTGGGTCAGTGTCTCAAATATACAGAGCTTTGGGAAAAGTGGCTGGCTGCCGTCCAGGCAGGAGGAATATTAACAGCAGCCATTTTGAAATCTACCCAGGAGGACTTTGGTATCAACTCGTGTCAAAATCTGTGAGGTACATGTTCCTCATTTACTCACACAGCAAAAACTAGGAGCAGTTGTACAGTTTATTTTGAAAAGAAGGAATCAAAGTATCTACAGGAGTAAAGAACATTGGGGGAAATACTGTTGCTATGAGTTAGGAGAAGAGGAGTTAAAGGAGAAGATAGGGGTAGGAATTACCATTTCAGCACACATCTGAGACAAAGGATTTATGAATATATCCATTATCTTATTTAATTCCAATGATCCTTCAAGGTAAGTATTTTTAACTTCATTTTATAGATTAAAAACTAAGATTAAAAAGTATCATGTAAGCCCAAGTTCATACAACTACTATGAGCTGAAGTCAGAATTGAACTCAGATCAGTTTGGCTCCAAACTCAGGTTCTTCTCACTACCATTCTACATGTGCCATGTAGGTTATAGGAGGACCCAGCACCTAGAATTTGAATAGAGTTTTGGTGCTAATGTTACAAAAAATATGAACCTTAAGGACAAGGTCAATCTAGAAGCAAGGACTCTACAAACTTCTGTGAGCTAACAAGTGAATAATGGAAAAAAGTAGGTATTTCCATAAATGCTTATCATATTACATTTGCTTTTTTTTTTTTTTTTGGTACTGGGGATTGAACTCAGGACCTTGTGCTTGCAAGGCAGGCAGTACCACTGAGCTAAATCCCTGGCCCACATTTGCATATTTTAAAAGAAAAAATCTGATACTCTTTGAAGGAAACTCTAATCATGGCAAACTCTAAGGAAACACCTACCAGAGCCCCAATGTGACAGGAATCTCAGGGCCTGGAACCCAGTGCTCAGTTAAACTGGAGTCACCCAGGACTCCTCCCCTTTTCACCCAGCAATTCTATTTCCAACACTTATCTCAAGTCCAGCAATTTCTCATCATCTACACCACTGCCATCACCTTTCTGAATGAAGAAATGCTGGCTTTCCTCCTTTGGTCTCAATCCTCCACCATCTGTCCTCCAAGTTGCAGTCAAAGTGATTGCTGGAAATTATTGCTCTGGTCATTTCACTTCCTGCATAAATCCCATCACAGGCTTCTCATTTGCTTTTAGGATCAAATCCTAACTCCGCCCCAGTCTGCCTCTGCTGACCTTGGTTTGTGTCACTGACTCTCTTGGCAAGTCTCAGCCATCCAGGGCTCTTTCTGTCCTCAAAGCCATCATGAAATATGGTTTCCTTTGCCTGAACTGCCCCCTCCTACTCACCTGGCTACTCATCTTGCACTTAAATGCCACTTCCTTAGGGATCCTTTCCCTCTCTTTGGTCATGCCAGTCTGAATTAAGTCACCCTCTGACACCCTCTCTGATTACCCTGTACTGTCAGTACATCAAAACTATATTCTTCTACATGTTTAAGTACATGCAAAGAAATTGAAGTTATCCCGTGTATATTATCAGACCATAGTGCAATTAAACTGGAGATCAATAGCATAAGAAACCACAAGAACTTCACAAACACATGGAAATTGAATAACACTCCTGAACAACCAATGGGTAACAGAGGAAATTAAAGAAGAAATTAGACAGTTTTTACAAATAAATGATAATGCCAATACAACATACAGGAATCTATGGAACACAATGAAACAGTCTTACAGGGAAAATTCATAGCAGTGAATGCCCACACTAGGAAAACAGAGCTAGCTCAAATAAACAACCTAATGCTGAATCTTAAGCTCCTACAAGAAGAAGAGCAAGACAAACCCAAAGCTCATACAAGGGAGGAAATTATAAAGCTCAGAGCAAAAATCAATTCCATGGAGACCAAGAGAATGATACAAAAAAAATCAATGAATTGAAGAGTTGGTTTTTTGAAAGAATAAATAAAATAGATAAACCCTTAGCCAACTTTATCAAAAAAAGGAAAGAAAAGGCTCAAATACATGCAACTAGGAATGAAAAAGGTGAAGTCACAATAGATCCTGGAGAAATCCAGAGGATCATCAACACCTACTTTGAGAAACTGTACTCTAATAAAATGAAAAACACAGAAGAAATGAACAGATTTCTAGACATATATGAATTACCAAAGTTGAATGAAGAAGATATAAAAATTCTAAACACCCCAATTACAATCAGTGAAATTGAAAACATAATTAAAAATCTACCAACAAAGAAAAGCTCAGGTCCTGAAGGCTTCACTGTGGAGTTCTACAAAACATTTAGAGAAGAACTATTCCCACTATTCTTTAAACTTTTTGGTGAAACTGAAAAAGAAACAATACTTCCAAATTCATTCCTGGAATCAAGTATTACTTTGATTGCAAAACCAGGGAAAGACCCAAACCAAAAAGAGAGCTACAGGCCAATCTCCCTAATGAACATAGATGCAAAAATCCTCAACAAGATACTGGCAAACAGAATACAGAGGGTCATCTAGAAGATCATTCACCCTGACCAAGTTGGATTTATCCCAGGGATGCAAGGATGGTTCAACATACGTAAATCAATAAATGTAATACACTATATTAACAGAGTCAAGAACAAAAACCATATGATCATCTCCATAGATACAGAAAAAGCATTAGATAAAATTCAACACCCATTCTTGATAAAAACCCCACAGAAAATTGGAATATATGGTCTTTATCTCAACTTGATAAAGGCTATCTATGAAAAACCAACAGCCAGGGTTGGGGATTTAGCTCAGTGGTTCTGCTGCCCTCTCACAAGCGCAAGGACCCAAGTTAGATCCCCGGTACCAAAACAAAAAACAAAACAAAACAAAACAAAATAAAAACCCAACAGCCAACATCATACTAAATGGTCAAAAAGTGAAGATTTTCACACTAAAATCAGGAACAAGACAAGGATGCCCACTATCACCACTCCTGTTCAAAATAGTTTTGGAAACATAGCCACAGCAATTAGACAAGAGAAAGAAATAAAAGGAATAAAGATAGCAAAGGAAGAAGTTAAACTGTCATTATTTGCTGACAATGTGATACTCTACATAGAAGACCCAAAAAACTCTCCCAAAAGACTTCTAGACTTAATTGACAGATTCAGTAGAGTAGCTGGATACAAGATCAACACTCAAAAGTCAATAGCCTTCTAGCACACAAATAACAGACTCACTGAAAGAGAAATTAGGGAAACAATCCCTTTCACAATGGCATCCAAAAACATAAAATATTTAGGGGACCAGGGATTTAGCTCAGTGGTTTCACCGCCTGTTGTACAAGCACAAAGACCCAAGTTTGATCCCCAGTACCAAATAAATAAATAAAAATTAAAAATAAAATAAAATATTGAGGAATCAATCTAACAAAGGAAGCAAAAGACCTCTACATTGAGAACTACAGCACTCTGAAAAAAGAGATCGAAGAGGATACAAGAAAATGGAAAGACATCCCCTGTTCCTGGGTAGGAAGAACCAATATAGTGAAAATGGCCATACTTCCAAAACTGCTATATAGATTCAATGCAATCCCAATTGAAACCCCAACAGCATATTTCACAGAACTAGAGAAAATAATCCAAAAGTTCATCTGAATCCAGAAGAGACCTAGAATAGAAAAAGCAATTCTAGGCAATGAAGTCATGGCAGAGGGTATTGTAATTCCCAACTTGAAACTGTACTATAAAGCTACTGTGATAAAAACAGCATGGTACTGGCAAAGAAACAGACCCAAGGATCAGTGGAATAGATCAGAAGATGCAGAAGCAACTCCAGACATACTCAGCCACCTCATCTTTGACAAAGGAGCCAAACACCCTCACTGGAGGAAAGATAGCCTCTTTAATAAATGGTGCTGGAAAAACTGGATTTCAACTTGCCAAAGATTAAAACTAGACCCCTATCTTTCACCATGCACTAAAATAAAATCAAAGTGAATTAAAGATCTAAATATTAAAACAGAAACACTAAACTTGCTGGAAGACAAGTTAGGTAGAACTCTCGAAGACACTGGCATAGGAAAGGACTTTATGAACAAATCCTCGGTAGCACGGGAACTAGCACAAAGAATCAACAAGTGGGATCTCATCTTATTAAAAAGCTTCTGCAGTGCAAGAGAAACCACCAACAGAGCTAAGAGGCAACCTACAATGTGGGAAAAAAAATTTTACCAGCTGTTCCTCAGACAAAGGTCTACTATCTAGAATATATAAAGAACTCAAAAAAATCAGAACCCCCCAAATATAAAGACCCAGTTCAAAAATGGGCATCTGAAATGAACAGACATTTCCCAGACAAAGAAGTAAAAGTAGCAAATAGACATATGAAAAAGTGTTAAATATCACTGGTCATTGGAGAGATGCAGATGAAAACAACACTGAGATTCCACCTCACCCCAGAAAGAATGGCTGCTATCATGAAATCAACCAATAACAAGTGCTGGTGGGGTTGTGGGGAGAAAGGAACCCTGCTCCACTGCTGGTGGGAGTGCAGACTGGTGCAACCACTGTAGAAATCAATATGGAGATACCTCAAACAACTAGGATTGGAAGTCCCATTTGACCCAACTATTCCTCTACTGGGTATCATCCCTAAAGAATTAAAAGAATCATACCACAGTGATATAGGTGCACCCATGTTTATAGCAGCATAGTTTGTAATAGCTAAAACTTGGAAACAGCCCAATTGCCCATCAACTGGAGACTGGATAAAGAAGATTTTTTTAATATAAAATGGAGTACTACTCAGCCATAAAGAATGAGAAACTAGAGACATTTATAGCTAAGTGGATGCACATTGAGGCGATACTCTTAAGTGAAATAAATAGGACATACATGTGTAAATACCAAATAGTTTCTCTGGTGTGAGAAACTACAAGTGAAAATAAGAATCAAAATGTATAATTGATAATGTGACATAGGAAGAAAATGTTTAAAGGAATAGGGGAAGTAGGAGGGCAAGGGGAATGGAAAGAAGGGAAAAGAAAAAATATGAGAAAAGGAAAAACAGAGAAACAAAGTCTTTGTAAATAGGGAAGGGTGGAGGGGGTGAAGGGAGGACAGGGAAACAATAAGAACCAAGATACATCATGTAAAGGTACAAGATCCCAATGATGCATGTAACTGTATTGTATACCTAAAATGTACCAATAAACTAAATGTAAAAAAAACACAAACTATATTCTTCTAGTTACTTCTGCCATTATTTGTTTGGTGTCTTCCCCCCATCTCATTGTAAATTCTGAGACAGGGACTGGGTCTAGTTTGCCAATTTGCATCCTAATACCTGGCACGTGGTAAGTGCTCTTCCAGTTTCTATTCAACTCAGTAACACCGAACAAATACTGGTTTGTTTGTTTTCTTGGTTTTTGTTTTCTTTGGTACCAGGAATTGGACTCAAGGCCTCGTGCTTGCCAAGCAAGCGCTGTGCTGCTGAGCTACATCCCCAACCCCTGTATATACTGAATATCTACTATGTGATTGGCATAATTTTAGGCACTGGGGATTGTAGCATGAATAAAAGAGAGTACTCTACTGAGGCTAGGAGGAGTAGTTATAGATATGGAACTTTAAAACCTAGTAAATATATACTATGTCAGATGATAAATTCTATGGTAAAAAATAAAGCAGGATAAATAAGGTAGTCAGGGAATAGGGTGAGGTGGCCGTGAATTGTAATAACAGTAAGCTGATGACCAGTGACAGTTGAGCTAAGTATTTTCACTCACCTCCCACATAAACCACTTTTTTCCAGTTCTCAGACTCCAGGACATCATCTCGTGGGTAGTAGCTCTGCTCTATCATGAACAGAATCATGAGTAAGGCCATGCAGCAGAGAATGAATGTGTTGCCTTTGGTCAGCAGGGAGATGGAAGCCAAAACACAGGAAGCATAGGGGCAGGGTAGGCCCCTGTAAGAGAAGGGAACTCCTGCCAGGGAAAGATAGAGGGATCAGCTGCTTCCCATGCTCTAAAGGCATCTAAGGAAAGCCAGCCCCTTGGGTCATCCCCTCCACAACTATCCAGTTGCCTCAAGCCCAGGGGTAGCAAAGGTCTGTAAGTCATTCAGTTCTCAAACACGTGCTATGCATAAGGAGTCCATTACCACACTCCATGCTTCTGGCTTCCAATACCAGCTTCTGCTCTGTGGTCCCCTGCTCTTGGACTTAAGGCTACCTGCATTCCACTCACCAGATGAATAAAAACACACGCAGAAAGAAGTGGTTAACACATAGATGATGGCCACGAACCCATTCAGAGGCCCATCCACACCGAGGAGCAGGCCCGAGGCCAAGCCGAAGGTGATGAAGACAGCAAAGTCATTCAGCTTGGCTCCTACACAGGAAGCCCAAGGTTAGAATGTACACTCCTAGGCTTGCACCTTAGCTTCTCTCTGGTAGGGAAGCTGAAGCTGTGACAAGCAGGGTCCTGAGGTCCCAAAGGACAACAGCTGCTTTCCCAGGTGGTCTATAAATCAAAGTCTGACCTCTCCTCCCGGCTCTGCCTCTGACTGACCCACTTGGCCTTCAGCAAATCTTTCCCTGTCCAGGGGTTAGTTTCTCCATCACTTAACAAGCAAGGGTTGTACTACAATAGGATGTAACTTGATAAACTGTGGCACCTCCTTTTTTTTCCGCTGCTTTGCTTAGGGTAGTTTTTCATCCCCACTTTCTCTCTAGTACCTGGATCTGCCCAGAAGTGGAAGGCAGGGCAGATAAGGACACTGAGCACTAAGACCAGGACTGACGAAAGCAAGCCAGCAGAGGCACTAGGTCTAGGCTGTGGGAATCCCTAGCTCCTCCTCTGCAGCCACTTCTGCTATTCTCAGAGGCACATGGATGTTAGAGGACAGGTGGAGATGGGAGACGAACGCTCCCGGGGTCAGGGATTAGGGGCCTGAGGCCTGGACTCACCTGTTTTGCAGCAGATGTTAAGGTGTCTGGTCAGCGCCCCTACCTCCATGTCCAACAGGAAGCTCATCAGAAGCATCCAGGAGGCACAGTGAGATTTCCTGAAGCACAGCCAACAGGGCCAGGCAGTGCAGCTCTTCACAGTCCCCACCGGACAAGCCCCTCCCTATACGCTAGTCCTCGCCCAGCACACCTCCTCAGCTGCACACATGTGTGCACTACGCCTGGCCCCTCCACTCATATCCTTTCTAACGTATCCTGTCCTACCTACCGCCCCACACAAGCCCACATCCCCGCTAGTCTAAGGGGTTCCCTGAATCCCTGTGGTATTCACTAATATCCCTCCCAACTCTAAATGCCAGGCAAATTTGATGGCACAGGAGTCCTTCCTCCACCCTAGTCCAGCCTCCACCACCCTCTCACTGTGAATTCTCACATAAATCAATACCCCTCTCTAAGCCTCAGTCCTCCATTTGTAAAATGAGGGGTTTATGCTAACTGGTTTCTTTACTAGATGGAAACCTATTTAGATGATCTGTTTCTCCTTGAGGGAGTTTTGGTAGCCTGTGTCTTTTAAGGAGTTGATCCATTTCGACTATCCAATTTGTAGGCCTAAAGCTGTTCGTAGAATCGCTTTGTTATCCTTTTAACGTCCACAGGATCAGTGGTGATAGCCCCTCTTTCATTTCTCTTTTTGGTACCAGGGATCAAACTCTGGTCCTTGCACTTGCGCAGCAGGTGGCGAAACCACTGAGCTAAATCCCCAGCCCCATCTTTCATTTCTGATATTGCTAATTTGTGTCTTCTTTTTTTTCTCAGTGAGCCTGGCCAGAGGTATGTCAATTTTATTGAATTTTTCAAAGAACCAGCTTTTGATTTTATTGATTTCCTCTATTAATTTCCTGTTTTCAGTTTTTTCAATTAATGCTCTTCTGTTACTTTTCTTCTGCTATGAATTTAATTGCTTCTCTTTTTCTAGCATCCTAAAATGAAAGTTTAGATTACTGGTTTTTTATCCTCTCTCCCTCTCTCTCTCTCTCTCCCTCCCTCCCTCCCTCTCTGTCTCCCTGTCTCTCTGACTCTCTGACTCTCTGTCTTTCCAGCACTGGAGATTGAATCCATGGCCTGATGCATGCTACACAAGCACTTCCTTACCACCGAGCTACAGCCTCAGACTTTTCTTTTTATTTTACTTTATTTTGAGATAGGGTATCACTAATTTGCCTAGGCTGGCCTAAACTTTCTATCCTGCCTCAGCTTCTTGAGCTGCTGAAATTACAGGCACATGTCTGATTCTCTTCTAATATAGTTGTGCACTGCATAATGACATTGTGCTCTGCTACAGACCATGCGCTTGACACAGGCAATGGTAGTTTCATATGATTATCTCACCTAGTGATGTCAGGGCCTTTTAGTTTGTGTGAGTACATTCTATGATGCTTCCACAACAATGAAATCACCTAGTGTTCCATTTCTTAGAACATATCCTTGGTGTTACATGATGCATGCCTGTATACACACTCAGTACTATTAATTCCTTCCCTCTGCTTCTTTGCTTGAATCCACAAATTTGGGTTAATTGTACTTTCATTTACTTATAGTTAAAAATATTTTTAAATTTCTCTTGAGACTTTTTCCCTAAACATGACCTATTTTTTTTTTTGTTTTTGGTACCAGGGATCAAACTCAGGACCTTGTGAGGCGTGCAGCAGCACCACTGAGCTAAATCCCTGGCCCTCTCTCAAGACTTTTATCCATGTATCATTTCTAAATGTGTTGTTTAACCTCCAAATATCTCAAGATTTTCCAGGTATCTTTCTGTTATTGACTTCTCATTTAATTCCATGTAACCTGAGTCTATACTTTGTATGAGTTTTTTGGGGGGAGGATTTTGAAACAAGTTCTCACTATGTAATTCAGGATGGCCTTGAACTCAGTATGTAACCCAGGCTTGCCTTGAACTCATGGCCATCCTCTTGCCTCAGCCTCCCAAGTGCTGGGATTACAGACATGTGCCACCACACCTGGCTATGATTATCATTTTTTAAAATTTGTTAAAGTGTGTTTTATGGCCAAGAATGCACTCTGTCTTAGTGACTGTTCCAAGTGAGCTTGAGAAGAATGTGTATTCTGCTGTTGTTAGATGAAGTGCTCTATAGATGTCCATTATACCCAGATGATGGCTGTGCTGTTTGAGTTTAACTATGTCCTTGCTGATTTTCTGTCTGCAGGATCTGTTGATTACTGATAGAAGGGTGTTGAAATCTCTATGATAGGTTCATTAATTTGTCCTTGCAGCTCTATCAGTTTTTGTCTTGTGTCTTTTGATGCCGTAAATGATTTCCAAAGCTCTTGGAGACCCCACACTCTTAGACTCTGTGGTGTGCCCAGCACACATTCCTAGGACTCTCTAAAAGCAGCCACCACAGTCAAGCAAACCTGCCCCTAGGAGGCCCTTTCTCAAGTCTGCACCCTGATGGCAGTGACTAGCTATCCCTGCAGAAGCAAAGGAGAGGCTGACCTCAGACTTTGGCTGTCCCCAAACTGCCTTAGAAATTCCCTTATTTAGACCCAATCCTAACAGAGTCTAAGCTAAATAAAAATACTCATCCTCCCACCATGGAAAGAGAACTATACTCACAGATGATTTGTTTGAGCTAAGAAGATAGAGATTTTCTGCTGCAGGTATGCCCTGGCCACTTTCTTATATTCCAAAAATCCACACTTAGAGAATCATAAAAATTTCAACCTAGAAACAAGCTTAAGCATCATCAAATAAAGTCATTTTATCATACAGATGAGAAACAGATCCTGAAAGAAGTCACTTGCTGATAGTTACAGAGACTCAGATTAGGAGGTTGTTATGATTATAAAAGATTTATCTTTAAAGAAGCTAATTTTCCAAAGGCATTGAAATGATTTAAATTATGGAAATATAAATTGTTTACAACTTTTAGGGGCACATGTATATATTTCAGACTTTCCCAAGCTGTGCTAATTCAAATATTTGGCCAAGTCATATATTCTTTTTTTTTTTTTTCTTAAATTCTTTTATTGGTACATTGTAGGTATACAACACAATTACATTTCTCAT